CCCCCCCCGGGAGCATTTTAGATTTTTGGGGGGGGGGGGGCAGTTCCAGTTGATTTATTGCTAAACATATTTTTCTCCGGGTGGGGGGACACTTGGCTTTTCCCCCGGTGATATAGCTGAAAGAAACCCTGATTTTATATGTGTTTGAAAGTTATGAAAGAATAAAAAAATAAAGAAATCATGATCAAAGAATTATACCGTAATCACATTATCAGGAAAACCCAAGCATCAGTCGTTTTTAGTGCGTCTTTTAGTGCGTTGTTAATATTGCGAAATAAAGTTAAAATTAATTTGTTGTAAATAATCACGCAAATGACGTCATAGCACGAATAGCCTATTTCACCAAAACTCTTAGGTTTCTTTAAATTTAATAACCTCGCGTGTCAAAACTGATAATGTATTTTCCCTTCTTAAAAGTAAAATTAATAAATACAAATGATTGCTTTTTAAATTGTTACTAAAACACACACACATTTTTGCTTTGTATATTATTACATTTCAAAAGTTTTGCCTTTTTTTATTCCAAAAATGTACTTTTATTTTTTTCTTTTTTTTATTAAAAAAATATAATTTTATAAAAATAAAAAAAAAAAAAAAAAAAAAAAAAAAAAAAAAAAAAAAACGAACCTTTAAATATAATTCTAATAAGAAAATGCGGTTTAAGTCAATCAGTGCAGCGCAACTCCATAGCTAATCCATAACTAATCCACTTATACCTCATACAAATAAGAACGAACCATATGAAGTGCAAAATACGTTAGTTTGGGCATGGAAGGGACTACAATTCGGTGCAAGATTTTCTAAATTTATTTAAATCCGGTTGGGGGAGGGGTTGGTCACTTTGCCACATGCAGCACAAGATACTTCTCAAAATAAAGAAATGAATTTGATAAATATTAAACCTTCTTGGGTACATTCATATCGGAGGTAGGAAATAGGAAGTGTACATTTTTACGTGTATGACAAAATATTTAAATCCTATGGAATTACATTAAAAAAAAAAGAGATGTTCCATTCTATTTTTACAAATATGTGTATGTTTATTTTGCTCAAGGCAGCACAAGATACGTGTCAAAATAAAGGAATGAATTTGATAAATAATAAATTTTCTTGAGTAAATGCCGTATTTATTGGCGTATAACACGCACAGGCGTTTAACACGCACCTCATTTTAAGAAGGAAATTTAAGGAAAAAAACTTTACATTATATCGGCGTATAATACGCACACATCATTTGCCCCCTATTTTCAGGGAGAAAAAGTGCGTGTTATACGCCGATAAATATATTGCATTTCGGAGGTGGGAAATAAAATGTGTAAATTCTTACGTGGATGACAACAGAGTTAACTCCTATGATATTACATTTGTGAAAAAAAAAAGATGTTACATTCTCTTTTTACAAATATTATGTTCATTTTGCCCAAGGCAATACAAGATACGTCCCAAAATAAAGGAATTAATTTGATTAATAATTAACCTTTTTGGGCATATACATACCGGAGATAGGAAAAAGAATAGCCTATTTCGATTAATAATTAACCTTCTTGGGTACATACATACCAAAGAGAGGAAAAAGAATGTGTACATTTTTACGTGGATGACAATATATTTAAATCCTATGGTATTATATTTGTGAAAAAAGAGATGATAAATTCTCTTTTTACAAAGAAACCTATGTTTACCAATTTTAAGAAAATCAATGGCATTAACAAATCTTGGGTACATTTATATAAGTATATCCATGAATATCAAAACCCAATCATTTTCCACACTTGAAAATTCAATTTTGACAAATGAAGATGGGTTAATATTTTCTTTCTTTCTTTTTTTTTTTTATTTTTTAATGAAAATATATTTTTGTTGTTGCTTCTCAAATAGTAAAGAGGTGTGTATTTTTTATGATATTAACAATTTAATTATTTTTTTTTAAAAAGACAGTCAGATCTGATATAGGCGTGAAAAACAGTTGCGAGATTCTTCTTAGATAAAAGAATTCTTTGTTTTACGATTTTCTGATAATGTATAAATTAAGAAAAAGGCAAAAATGTGTTAAGTTTTTGATGAACATATCAATATATAGAGAATTCCTGTAATACAAAATATATTTATGTCATAAAATATTATGTCATATATATAGTTTTTGTTGTTAATTTAAGATTAGGTTTTTAAAAAAAATTGGAGAGAATAGAAAAAAAGTTGTAATTCAAGGGCACGAAAAGGGGTAAATATAAAGTATTTCTGTAGCGTAGTTATTTTACCTCATCAACTTCTTTAGTGATAAAAGTGATATAATTCGTGATAATTAAGACTGGGTAATTTAAGGGCATGTTTAGAGGGGGAAAAGTAGTTTAGGAGCGTTAAAGGGTGTGGGGTACGCGTATCATTATATTATTATAAATAATATAGGCTATAGCAGAAAATAAACACTTCTCGAAACTTAATTCTTAATGATGTTAGTGTTAGAAACGCAAATATCATTACATTTTAAAAGTTATGAATTGGGATGAGCTTTTGCAATAGCAGTTAGAAATCATCGCACAGGACCTTCCATTATTAACCCGATAACATCGGGTCATTTATTCTAGTAATAGTATTATTATGGATGTTAGAAAAAAAGGCCAATAATCCAAAAACTGTAACTAATAGACTGATGTCACGTGACAGTCATATGACACAAAAAATAAACATGGCTTCTCATACCATAAACACAATTTTAAATTCAATCCTTATTTTAAATATACTGTTTATCACACATTTGCCTAAGGTAATTTGAGATATAGGTGCAAAAAAAAATTATATAAAATTGTTTTTAAATAAAATATATATCGTATGAACAAAAGTTTGACATTAACCTACAATTAGGCTACAATATTTGTCATTAATTACACTAATTTAATATTTATTTTATTTTTTTACAGTTACGGTACAGTTTGAGTTTTCAAGTTGTGTCATTTTAATAATAATTAATAATGATATCACATTTTTATCAGCATGGTATATCCAGGCCTTGTGGATTTCATCCTGCGAAGTCTTCACCATCGTTACATTGTGACGGACGGATGCTAGCAAAAAATAACTAATAGTATAGACTATGACTATACTATTAAGTATAGGCATTATAGAATAGTCATAGTGTGTGTTTCACTGTGCTCTTTACTCTTTATGCATTTTATGTTGCAGGAGTTGTTAGAATTTTTATTGGCATATTGGGCCTATCGTTTAGAAATAAAAAAAGCTTTCAAGAATCTACTTATACTGTCTCCCACAATTTCTTGCTGACTGCATTGCACTAAGAGTAGAATGAGGCCATCCATAAATGAAATCATGCATCTAATGGCGGGTGTGGGGGATTAGGGTGGTGGGGGTGTCTTCGTCGCATATTTGTGATGATGAGTGGGAGGGAGGTGGGGGTTCCTACATTGTTGATCTGCTCATGCCATGCTCTTAACATAAATTACTGCTACCTGTCAAGCATCCTTCTCTTTTAGTCACACAACCTTCTTTTTTTGAATGACCACCACTTTTCCTATACTCTCATGCGATTTCCCAAAACTACTGAATCACTGAATGTAGTTTTCTAAATCTAACATGTTTATTTTTTTTACATCATAGCAGCGTTTCCCAAACTTTTTTTACGTGACCCATTAACCATTTTAATTAACCGACCCAGTAATTTTGCTTCCGTGGCGTGGCCCAGTACCGGGTAGCGATCTGGAATTTGGGAAATGCTGGACTAAAGTATAGTGTAGTATGGTAACGTATTGCAAAAGGGAGAGAATCCTACACAGAAATTCAATTGTGTAAATTGACAGGGTATTATTAATAAAGTTTATGATTTTAATTTTTCTGTCTAATACTGATAACTAAAATAACTTCCCACTTTACTCATAGTATCATATATTAGCTGGAGCACCTAGTCTTTTAGTAAATCTAGCTAACTCCAACACTCTGACTTCAAACCCATAGCCAACTAATAAATCTAGCTGTCTGTGCCAATGAATTTTAAAACCTAGCCAATTAATAGTAACATAACAAGATGTCTCTCCCCATCAGACAGGAGCACATTTACTAGTAAAGCTATAAACTTAATAAACTTACCTTTATCTTACAAAATCTTGAGAAGATGATTTGGATCTTGTTTTAATTTTTGACATTATTAGATTTATGCTTACACTCACAGAATGTGAGAACATATATTTTTAATAGGAGGAGTGAAGGATTTTGTAGAGTAGTTTAAATTCCTGAGGGTTCAAGCTGGTCAAACCCATGCCTAAAAGGCCTTGTACATATACAATTCTTAAACATCTATTTATGCACTGTGAAGATTTGTTGATGAAGGGGTTTTAAAATACTATTGATAGAGATTCAATTTAGCTTGATTTGATTTGACACTATCAAATTAATATTCCATTTAGATTTAAATGAACTATGGATAAAATAAAAAGAAAGCATTTTCCCATGAATAGTCTAATACTAATAGAGATAGCTAGGTAGAGATGAGGATATTTTTAAAAAGTCCTAGTGAAACCATTACTTTTTAATGTCCTTAAAAGGGCTTTTGAAAGGTAAGGTAGTTCTATGGAATGATAATTTTTATTTCATCCAATTGGTATTTATCTCATTTAGCTTCAATAAAAGTAAATGCTTTATTAAATTTTTTATTATAGGTCCAAACTGCTAAAACATTTGGTATTGATTTCAAGAACAACACATTTCTTAAGGATGGTGCACCTTTTCGATACATCTCTGGGAGTATGCATTATTCTCGTGTTCATCCAGATTACTGGGAAGATAGACTGTTGAAAATGAAAGTGGCTGGATTAAATGCACTACAAACGTAAATAATAGTAATTTTGTAAACTAAAATTTAATTAATCCTATACATTATATTATGTACAGTTTTGTAATATCAATTATAACCTACCGGTATACTAAAGAATATATATATTTCTTTTCCTTTATAAAGATATGTTCCTTGGAATGTACATGAATTAGAGCCTGGATTATATAACTGGGAAGGAAGTTCTAACCTGGAAAGATTTCTCACTCTTGCTCAGAAATCAGACCTGCTTGTTCTTCTCAGACTAGGACCATACATTTGTGGAGAATGGGAGTTTGTAGGTTTTCAATGTCAAATTCCAATTTTATAACAAATATTGCACTTCATGAATTTTTTTAATAAAATTGGATTTTAATTAATATTAATATATTCAATTTTAATGTTCATTTTTCACTCTCCTCAGGGTGGGTTTCCAGCATGGATACTTAAAGAAGAACCAAAAATAGTTTTGCGCACAAGTGATAATGGTATTGTGATTTAAATAATTTTGGTAAATTTTGATGATTATTTGAACGTGTTTTTTTTTTATTAATAATTAGAGACCGACTGAATTTTGGCTTCGGTTTCAGCTCCGAAAGTGGCCATTTTATTACTTTCTGCCAAGTTTCGGTTTCGGCCGAAACTGAAAGTTAACTTTTGGCCGAAACTGAAAGTTAACTTTCGGTTTAATTTTGGTTTCGGCAGAAAGAGAAAAGTTAACTTTCTTTTTTTTTTTCGGTTTCGGACAAAATTTACTGAGGTTCTCGGTCATCTGATACTCAGCGAAAGCGATATTTAACAACAAACTAAGTGACATTTAATAACAAACTAAATGATCTTTAAGAACAAATTAAGGGATCTTTAAGAACAAACTAAACGATCTTTAAAAACAAATAAAGTGATCTTTAAAAACAAATTAAGCGATCTTTGAGAACAAACTAAACGATATTTAACAACAAACTAAGCGTCATTTAAGAACAAACTAAACAATCTTTAAAACAAACTAAGCGATCTTTAAGAACACTCTAAGTGATCTTATATAAAAAACTAAACGATCTTAAAGAACAAATTAAGCGATTTTTAAGAACGAACTAAACAATCTTAAAGAACAAACTAAAAGATTTTTAAGAACGAACTAAATGATCTTTAAGAACAAAACAAATGATCTTAAATAGTAAACTAAATGATTATAAGAAGAAACTAAGCGATCTTTAACAGAAAACTAAATGTTCTTTAGGAACAAACTAAAAGATCTTTAAGAACAAACTAATCGATCTTAAGGAACAAAATCAATTGTCTATAAGAACAAACTAAGCGATCATTATGAAAAAACTAAGTGATCTTCAACAACAAAATAAGCGATCTTTAAGAACAAACTAAACAATTTTTAACAACAAACTAAAAGATCTATAAAAACAAACTGAATGATCTTTAATAACAACTAAGCGATATTTAAGAAAAAAATCAATGATCTTTAAGAACAAAGCAAGCAATCTTTATGAACAAACTAAACAATTTTTTAATAACACAAACTAAGCGATCTTTAAGAAAAAATTTAGCGATCTGTTTTGAACAAACTAAATGATCTTTAATAACAAACTAAAAGATCTTTAAACAAAAACTAAGCGATCTTTAAGAACAAACTAAGCGATCTTAAAAAACAAAATAAAAGATTTTTAACAACAAACTAAGCGATCTTTATGAACAAACTAACCGATCTTTAAGAACAAATAAAGCGATCATTTACAAAAAAACTGAACAATCTTTAACAACAAACTAAGCAATCTTTAAGAACAAACTAAACGATCTTATATTAGATGTTATTTATTAATATTCACGATTATCTCCTTTTTTATAAAAATAATGTAAATATTTATACTTTCCCCCATCATTTTCGATGTATGCAGAATGTATGCAGGAACGACTTTCAAAATATCTAAATAATTCATTTTTGGCTTCGGTTTTGGCCGAAAGTCATTTTTAAACTTTCGGCCTATTTTCAGTTTCAGCCGAAAGTCATTTTAAAATTTCGGCCTATTTTCGGTTTCGGCCGAAATCAGAAAATCACTTTCGGTCGGTCTCTATTAATAATAATTAAATTAGTTTTATTATTCCAATTTTAGCAAACCTTAACACATTCATGTAGTAATGTGTTGTTGTTTTTTTGTTGCATTTCCATGCTTAAAGATATGATATTTACTTATTTTTAAAATTCCTTTAAAGCATATCTCAGATGGGTGGACAAATGGTTTACCGTATTGTTAAGCAAGGTGAAGCCATTCTTATATGAAAATGGAGGTCCAGTTATCATGGTTCAGGTATGTAAACTGATGTTTGACACTCAGAAATATTAATTCAATTCAAGTCCCTGTGATATTTTCAGGTCTGCATAGCGACATTTGTTTACAAGAAGAACAGGGCTGGTCACTGGTATAGATATGTTTAATAGAACCAGCCAATTATAAGAGCATATAACACCTGTTGATTCCTGATACCGTTGATACATTCTATCTGTATTAATGTTCACTAAAGTATTTTTTAAAAACAACTCTCATCAGTCTCACTTCATTTTCTATTGCTCTTATACTCCTTGCTCAGCCAATATGGCTTCTCCATACTCAATTCCTCACGGAAAATACTCACCATGGAATTTCTTCCTTAAAGCGTTCTGAATACAGATTTAGGTTCTTTCACGTCCTTGACTATTAAATGAAAATGGAGGTCCAATGATGATTCTTCAACTTTTGATATGTGAACTAATGTTGATCATAGCATAAATCGTTTCCATATTATAGCTCAAGTTCCAGTATGTTCATCCAGCATGATTAAGTGAAAAGAAATATTCTTTTACTAGAAATCAAACTGTGTAACATAGTCAGACAAAATGTGATATTACACATGTGATCAGTAAGAATTTGGTACCAGTATCAAATGAGTGATCAAACAGTATGAGGTGTTGTCCCAGTGATCAGACAGAATGTGATATATACCAATTGATCAGTCAAAATGTGATATGGTGAGGACTGCATTCAGGTTAAAACAATAAAAAAGGATGTAGTGTTAATCTTGTGAATATGGTTCGTAGGCAATGTTCCTTGCTGCGCAGCCATCTCACAGATGCAGCGCAGCAGTTTTGAGTATCCGCGCAGCAAACTTCCATTTAAGTGTATGTTAGTGTTTTTGGGCAGTAAAATTTTGCACATAAAAAAATTGATGCTGTAAAACTTTGCACACAACGGTATGATTTTGCACACGAACCAACAAACCTTAGAGGGAACATTGTTCGTAGGTTCATTTTGTTAAGCAAATTTGTAATTGTAAAATGTAATTAAATCTTAGCAAAGTATTTGCCAGCTATTTGCATTCTTCTTGGGTATTGTTACTTTTCTTCTGATGTTCTACATTACCTGTACTCATATTTCAGATTGAAAATGAGTATGGAAGCTATTTTGCGTGTGACGGAATATATATGGAGTACCTTGTAAATAAAGTAAAATCGGAGCTTGGTGAAAATGTGACTTTGTATACAACAGATGGTTGTGGTTTCCAGTACTTGAAATGTGGGCAGGTAGATGGTGCATATGCCACAGTTGACTTTGGGCCTGAAGGTTAGTACTGTCTTACAATATTTTTTTAAATAACTGAATAGTAGAATTTTATTATTCCGGTACCTTATCTAATCTGACATTTTTGTAAAGGTATGCACATTTTAAATTTTCTGTCTGTGCTACAAAATCTATTTCAATTTTAAGTGAAGGACTTTTTTTTTTCTAATTGCTAAGCTGAATTCTTTGTTATAGCATTACATGTAACCTGTACTGGTACTTCAAAAGCTTCAGCTAAAATTTACATTAAATAATTTTCACTTGCGACATTTTACATTCATGGGAAGCTCAAACGTTTGGTACCAGGTACCTTGTACAACTTAATAAACCGCAAAATATTAATTTACCACCATGTGAAAAAAAAATAATTTGGACTGAATATTTGTATTTGTATGGTACGTTTCATTTAATTAGTATAGTATAGGCCTACATATCAGTGTACCACTTGAAAATCAAAATCATGCACATGTACTCCAGTTTGAAAATCACTGGATTAGAGACTTTCAAAAAATTATATTTTAGAAGAAAACAACTTATTTATTGATATTTGTTATTGCATCATTTCAGATGACCCAGATGAGTGTTTCAGCTTACAAAAGTTTTATGAACAATTTGGACCAATGGTAGGTTTAGAAATTATTGTCATCCTCAAATACCTAAAATTCATATTAAAAGTTCAGTGTACAAAATTAAAATAATAAAAAACATGCAATAAATTATCCATTTATAAATTAAGCATTTATAAATTAAATTGTCACTATACAATATAGTCACATATATTGTCACTTCCATTATAAATAATTAAGCTGTCAATTCGCCTCTGATATGAAAAATTAAGCTGGCACTATGCCCCTCCACTTTATAACACTTACATTAAAGGTTAGTAAAGCTGGGGCACTATGCCCCTCCACTTACAAATTAAACAATTTACCATTTTAGCTTTATAAAGCTTCATTTTTGGTCTCTAATTTTAGGACATTTAAAACTTTATTTTGTAAAAAAAAAATGTGTACAGAGATAGAAATGTTTACCTGATCTCAATAACCAATAAAAAAGAAATGTTTACCTGATTTCAATAACCAATAAAAATTGCTAGCAAATGTATTCTCTAAGTTACTGGTAAGTTTAAGGAAAGATAAGAGACTTAAGAAATTTTAAAGAAATGAGAATTTACTCTTTAGATTCTTAATTTGATAACTTGTCAGGTGAATTCAGAGTACTACACTGGATGGCTTGACCATTGGGGATTTCCTCATTTTAAAGGTGATACTAACAACATTAGCAAGAACTTGGATAAGATGTTATCTATGGGTGCCAACCTTAATATGTAAGTGATGTACTGGTACCAGTATTGTAGTGATCTGATATATTGGACCTAAATAATATATAGATAGGTGATAATGATTAACATATAGATTATCCAGATCAGATCAGCTGTAATTTTCTTAATCTCTTTTGGTATTTTATCTTTTTCATTCTTGAAAAGTTTTTAATATTTTTGCATTGTTGATTCTAGTAAAGAGAATTTGCGATTTATTGTAATATTTTTATTAGCTAATTTTTAGACGGTAACTCAACACTAATAAATTAGATCTAAAATAAATTCAACTGAAAGTAATTAACCTAAGTTTAAATATCATTAGAAAGCTATATGATAGTGATAGGAAAGAGCTGAAAAAATTATTCAAAATTAGTTGTACCGGTATGACACATATTTTTTTCATTTACCCGGTACCAGTATTTAAAATCTTTTTTGAACTTTAGAAAATAAAATCTCTGGAAGTTTGCAAGAGTAATTTTTTGGGGGCTTACTTTTGGTAACGTAGCACGTGCTTTTCAGGTAATAGGACTTGACTAATTTAGCAAAGTACTGTAAATAGGTTACGGTAATATTAAAATGTTGAAGTTTGAAGTACCGGTAAATATATTTATAAAACTAATGAATAAAAATATAAAGTTTTAACATACTGATACCGGTATCCGAATTATGACTGAAATAACTGAAATATTAAGTTCTATTCCATACAAACTACATAAGTATGGATGCATCTTTCACTCTTTTAGGTACATGTTTATTGGAGGCACTAACTTTGGTTTTATGAATGGTGAGTATATTTATGAAAATTTGTCTTTTTTTGGTCACTTGTCTAAACATGTGTTTTTTTAACCTTTTTGGACGCACAGACCACTTGTAAACAAATGCTACTGAAGTTGACTCAATTTTAATTGAATCAATACAAAGATCATAAAGATAAATACAACTAACCAATAATGTATCGTCTTCTTATGCCTTTTTACCCCATCTGGGGCATAGGCCATCCATAAGAATTTTCCACTCATTACATTCCTGTGCTTTCCTTTCCAGTTGCTTCCAGATGTATCCCATATTTTGCGTGTCTTCCTCTAGCTGGCATCTCCGTGTATTCTTAGGCCTTTTTGTTTTTCCCTGTGGATTCCATGTTAGGCATTGTCTGGTGATACTATCTGGGGGTTTTCGGAGAGTATGTCCTATCCACCTCCATCTTTTCTTTATGATGTCTTCATCAATGGGCACCTGGTATGTCCTGTTGGTGATGGTATTTGGCCATTTGATGTTCAGAATCTTTCTAAGGCATGTGTTTATGAAGGGCTGTACTTTCTGTGTAATGCTCGCTGTTGTTTTCCAAGATTCTGCTCCATATAGTTATAGAGGAACTGTTTTGACATTTGAGTTAACTATCTCCTTGGAAGAGGTGTAGGCCTTCTTTAGGGATACCTTTGGCATAAATTGTAATGACTATTACACATGTTGGTATCTACTTAATAATTAACTTTAACCAAGTTGCCATGTTTTAAAATGACTTCTAAATGAATAACAAAAATGAAGTCAGCAATCATTTTCATTATGTCCTCCTTGAATCTCAACAATTATAATTCTAATCTAATATTTTTAATTTAAACCATTCTAAAAGCTTTTGTAAATATTATGATGGGATAATTTTATACATCCTGTACTTTGTTGGCATCACGCCGTCACAATGTGACGATGGTGTGGGCTTCGGATGTCAAAATCCACAAGGCCTGGGATTAATCTTCAAGGATTGGTACCCAACAGCAATTTGCCACTGGATAACCCAAGGGAACATCATTTGGATGATACAGCTTGGCATGCAGTGGCCACGCAGGTGTTACCGGAATGTTTGGAATGTTTCATTGTACCAATCCGCCTTTCGGGTACCGGTACTCCATCTCCTGAGTTGCCATCCAAGGTTAACGAGTCCCATCTACCCGGGGTGCTGGTGATGTTTTTGCATGACTGGGCTTTGGCTGGAATTGGACTCCAGACCACCAACTTGAGATTTGCCACCCAGCATCCATCCTGTAGTTGATCCTGTGAATTTATAATCATGTCTGGACTGCTTGGTGGCCACATGATAAAAGTAGTGAGGTTCCCCAAATCCAGAAAATAAATAGTGTTTCTTGTTGGGCTAAACAAAATCTTCATGCTCATCAGTTTCTCAATGCTTTCTTTATTTCAGGTGCTAACAGTCCTCCATTTCAGCCAGTTCCTACCAGCTATGATTATGATGCACCATTAAATGAAGCTGGAGATATTACACCCAATTACTATGCAATAAGAGATATTATATCTAAGGTACCCGGCACACTATTGAGCACTTCATTCAATACCGCATTTTACAAAAATTATATTCTCCGTTTCTTTGTCTTGTATCCAATTAAGTAAATTTTATATACTGGTACTCAGTAATAATCTACATGTTGAGACAAAGATAAAATTACATCAATTAGTATCAATTTTAAGTGTTTCAACCACGTCCTCATTTCTGTTTGAAATACCAGTTTGCTTACATTTACATGTTTTTTATCTTCTTACTAAACATACCTGTTTATTGTAATAAGAATAAGAAGAAATTGGTTTGGATTTCGAGTCAAAAAAATAAACTTCATAGAATTTTAATAAAAGATATAAACTTCTGATTAATTAATAAATGATAAATAGGCCCATGTATGATCATCTTAAAGATTTTGTGTACCGCTTCTGTACCGGTAATATTTACATCAGAAATAGTAATCTCTTCCCAAAAACCAGAAGAAAAAAACTCTCAAAATCTTCCTAACAAATGAAAGTTTAGCAACGTTTCCAAAATAAAGTGAATGTTTATGTTATAGTTATATAATAATAATAATAAGTGGTCTTATATAGCGCGGTACCCCGGCCTAGGGCTGGGCTCACCGCGCTGTACATAAATATAGCAAAGAGGCATAATCATAATATTAAAATAAAATACATAAATGAAATAAAAACAACATATAAGCAAAACAACACCAGAGGTATATTCATCCACCCATACCTGACATTTTTACAAGGAAACCCATGTACGTTTATCGGTTTATAGGAGGAGAATCAGTCAGAGTAGTATAGTTTAAATAGATGTGTTTTGAGTGCAGTTTTGAAGGCCTGTGTGGTTGTTATATTGCGGATGTGTAGTGGCAAAGAATTCCATTGTTTGGGGGCGCAGAAAGAGAAAGATCGTTCACCATATAATTTAGTGCGTGTCTTGGGAACGGACAGAATACGCGAGTCTGCGGAGGAGCGAAGTTGTCGAAGGGGTGAATAGACAGAAAGAAGTTCAGTTAGATAGGAAGGGCAGGAATCCGAGAAAAAGTTGTGACAGAGAAGAGACAGCTTGTAGTCAATGCGTGCCTGTATAGGGAGCCAATGTAGTGAGTGGAGTAGTGGAGTGACGTGATCACGTTTTTTTGCCTTAAGAACAAGCCTAGCAGCAGAGTTTTGAACTTTCTGCAGTTTTTCTATAAAATGTTTCGGTGAACCTGACAGAAGTGAGTTGCAATAGTCAAGACGAGAGAGAACAAGAGCACAGACTAGAGTTTTTGTTGCGCTAACTGTGAGGTAGTGGCGGATGGAGCTGATCTGACGGATGGCGGTGTATGCCGAACGACAAATGTGAGAGATATGTTTATCGAGAGACATGTTGTTAGAAAGAATATAACCAAGATCAGTATATCAGTGCAATAACCCACAGAAAGTATTGCTGTTAATAAATATTCATTACCCGTTGACAGCAGAACATTCATTTATTTAAGCAATGGGAACTTTTTATTACCTGTACATTTTTCATGTTCTTAATTAAAAATTTACTTGCAAAGGAAACCTATGCAAAGGAGAAAGGGGGGGGGGGGGGGGGGTGTTTAAGATGAGTATGATAATGGCATAGAACCCTTTATTCGGCTGGAAGGTTCTCAAAAAAAGACATTTTAAAAAGTGCCTGTCAGGTGCTTTTTTATGTACCCAGTACATTACCAGTTTCAGAATAAAGATTTTTATTATTGATTATTGTGTATAATTGTCAAGATTTTTTTATTTGTTTCAGTATCAAAAACTGCCAGAAATTCCTATTCCTCCTAATACAAATAAAACTGGATATGGAAATATATCAATGGAATTTGTAAGTGCTTAGAGCATTTTATCCAGTCCATTGCCAGAGATATGGATAATTTAATCTTGTTTATTTTTGTAAAACTTACAAGCATTTATCTTTCTATTTCTATCAACCAGTTTATATTTCCTTTTATATTCAAGTACCAGTAATAAAATAAAAATGTAAAGTTGTGGTTTCTTTTATTTGAGGTGTGTATCATACAAGATGCCCTGCCTTTTCTCAGCCCAGGGGGACCAGTGCTGTCTTCATACCCTGTTCCAATGGAAAAGATTGGCTTTGTAAGATTTATTAGGGTTACACATTAGCTAAAATTTATATTCCATACTGGGTATTTCAAGTATTGAGCTTGGTCATATTGTCTTGACAAAACACATTCAATTTATACAATAAAAGGTTCACTTCAATTTTATGTCTAATCTCAATGTTTACAAGATAATAAATTAAGGTAACTTAATTAAAACAGAATTAGCTCTAATATGTACGTGAAATTTTGTATTACTTGTTAACAAAACTAAAAACAATGCAAATAAATAACTATTCTTTAATTTATATTTTCACAGTACGCCGGATTTATTTTGTACAGATTCATATTAACTGCGGAATATGCTAATCCCACACCTTTACAATCAAAAGGAATACGAGATCGAGCTGTTGTGATGGTCAATGATGTAAATAAATTATTTTCTGCCAAACTATATAAATTGTATTTTAAACTATTTTATTTAAAGCACATTTCTTAACAACATTGTAACTTTCTGTAATTTCCCCTACATTTTAGAATAAATTGATCAGCAGATAACAAGATGTTTAATACCGGTATTTAGATTTCAAAAATTAAAAGGCTAACAATTTTTCATCCATAAGCACAGCAAAAAAACTTTCTCTGCTTAACGCATACACTTTGAAATTGTGTTTATTTTTTAAATATAAATATTTATTTTATTTTAAATGAGACATTGCTACACTTTGCATGCTGTGCTTTCTAGAGCAAAACATTTCTGTTATTGTTATACAATTTTGCTAAGGTTCCATTCGGATTGATGGATAGGAAAAATACAATTGTGAACATCACAGGAATATCTGGTCAAACTGTTGATATTTTGGTGGAAAACCAAGGCAGGATAGGATTCTCCACTAACATGAATTTCAACAATAAGGTATTTTTTTAAAGTTACCATTATCAGGTTATGTTATAATCAATCTTAATCAGAATCATGTATCAAATATTTATAACAGAATTAGCTCTCATTTGTGTATATATTCATATTTTAGATGCATATTTCTGTCTTGTATTTAAGTGTTTTGAATTTGCTTTGTTTTTAAGGGAGTCATTGGAAATGTTACTTTGAATGGTAATATTGTGATGGATTGGCAAATTTTCCCATTGAATTTAGGAAATATTCCAAATATTACCAGAGCATCCAAAAAACAATTTAAGTATGTATAAGAAATAAAACTTGTTACTTGTTATTGAAAACATCGATATGCAAATAATTCGGAAGATATCTGAAATTGAAACTATCTTTTTTAAGATTTAGACCAAATGTTCACTAAATTGTTCAAGTCATGGAACCCTTGTGCATCCAGTGTTTCCCATAGGCTCATTATGACTATGACATTTCTAACAAGTGCAATTTGAAAAAGAAAATTTTTCTTTTCACTTTCACTGATTAGAAAAAACTTATAAAATTCTTTGAGACTGTGAACGAGATATAAAAATACTTCAATAACATCAATTAACTTATTTAAATCACAAAATTATTCAGTTTAAATCAATCTGATTCAACACTAAAATAGGGCGAAATCACCAGCTATTTAAATGTTAACATATTGTACTGAAAATGTAGAGAAAATATCTGCTATTGCTATTGGATTGCTTTTCATATAAATGTCAAGCATGATTAAGGAATATTTCCCCTTTATTTTCTTTGAATAAAGAACCAAGAAACCATTTAGATCAGCTGACAGCCAGTTAATGACTCCATCCATTTATAGTGGCTCTGTTGCCATTCCGGACTCACCATTTCATCCCCAAGATACTTACCTAGATCCAAGGCCATGGAAAAAGGTTAAAATTTAACTCAACAGTTTATACATGAACAACAAAAAAATTTGAAAAAAATCTTAACTTATTTGTACTACATATGAAAATTTCTTTAATATTAATAACAGCTATTTTTTAAAAAAAACTTCAATGCATTTTCACACAACAAGCAATTAACTTGATGAATAGCTGCCTTGACTTTAATACTAGCAATTTTAATTTACTTAAACTATTCACATTTATAAATTATTTATATACCGGTATATACTCCACAGGGTCAAGCTATGGTGAACAATTTCAATCTCGGAAGATATTGGCCCAGTGTGGGTCCACAAGTGACTTTATACATTCCCAAGCCAGTTTTTAACAAACCACCAGCATTAAATCACCTGTTTCTACTGGAGTTAGAAAATGCTCCATGTCTAGAGAAATTTTCTTGCCAAGTGATCTTAACCGATACTCCTTTTATAGATGGTCCTAATGCACTTAAAAGGAATATAGCATATCCAGATCTTCCTAAACAAATGGTTCATTAAAACATGAGTACCGGTACTTCTTAATGCTATCAATATAATTCAAATATAGCTTAAATACTTTAACAACCTATAACATTACAAAATTTACATGAGATATTATATTATTATCAATGCAAATGGAATTATTTTCCTGTTGCTTAAAATTAACAGAGCCCCCCCCCACGGAAAAAAATACTTTTCTTCAGGAAACCCTGCACCTCCAATCACACTGAAATAATTAACTGAGTGGAATAAAATAATTCAATAGCAATTTTCACCATTTAAATTTATTTAGGGTACCCTATACTAAATCAAAATTTCATAATGAACTTAAATAAAATTCAACTATTCCCCTAAATAGAGTTTGGGTTAATCAGAACCACCAATTTTAATTCTCTATCTCCAATTTTAAGAAAGTTATAATTTTTAAGAACTTGGGAACACAGTCAAATTTTCAATGACATCAAGGTGTAGTTTGACACCTGCCAGCTTCTAAAATAACTAAGTTGGAACTTTCAAATCTCTTACACCTGCACACACAGCCAGTTATACATATAACAAACTCAATTTTTTTCAGGGTTGTCTCAAAGATTTAAATAAAAAATGTATTCATACAAAAATGGGTAGAGGCACAATATGACAAATTATGAAAAGGGAACCAAAAAGTCAATTTTAGTTTTAGTTAAATTTTAAAAAATTAAAAATCCTTAAACATTAACCAAGGGAGTTCAAAATATTATTTTTAGACAATGTTAAAGGAAATATACTGTTTATTATTGTGAAATTAACTGGCAGATGAGAAATTAAAATTAAATTTAGACAGAATTATTTTAACTAAGCATGGTCACACAAAATTAGAATTTTAGATAATTTTTAAAAATGACAGAAAATTAATCAAGTGAGATATCCAAATAAACTTTTAACCATATTCTAGAAACTGATAATGTTTTTAATTCACGCCCAGATGTCATACTTTGAAAGAATTATTTTTCTCTCATTGCCTAGTACTGTATCATTACCATAGCTAAAGAATTTTATTCCTAATAATTAATATATCCTTTGCAATTTAAAGAAAAAAAATTATTGTGTGAAAGTTGTGTCTTGTGTGAAAGTGAAATTTGTATCTTGTGGCACCCTGGGGTGCAAAAAATAATACATTGTTGTTGTTTGGATTGTAGATCTGTGGGGAACTTTCTGTTATTTTTCTTCAAATATTGAAGTTTTGAGTGGCTATAAATGTCACTTATTAGTAATAGTCTCATTATGAAAGTTCTAAATTTATTTTTATTTAATGAAAGTATTAATAATGTTCTGCATCATTTTAACAAAAAAAAATAAAGATAACAGAGGGTAATAGTAGTATAGAAATAAAAGCTATACCATTTTATACTAGTACCGGGATATTATTGTAAAGATGCTTTATTGAAATTTAAATTAACAATAATATTTGTTTTTACTCAATTTTTAGCTGTACACATGGACATTCCATATAAATATAATAATATTGAAATGTTGGGATTTTAATGAGTGGTTTAATGTTGGAAACTTAAGTCTATACTCTACAAGAGTAGCTATGGTCTAATCAAAGAAATGCTTTTAATAATTAATATTAAACATTTTCTAATTTAACTGTGATGGTAATTTAAATTTAAAATTCATTTTTGCAAACTTTTGCAGCTATTTATTCTACTGTTAAGACCAATAGGATTACTTATACCGGTACATTTAATGCCACATTCAAATATATAGATTGTATAATAATGTTAAATTTATTACCTGACCGTTTAAAATTAAACCTATACATTTCTTGTGGGATTTATTCAATTTTTTTTATTGTTGGTTTTTTAATTTTTTTTATTTTTAATGTTTATTTTTTTGACCAAATTAGAGGTGTGGCTATGGGTACCTACATGGGCCCTAGTTTTGTCTATTCGTGGGTCACTTTGAAAACATGGTAAAGAAGGCATATACTGGCATATCCCAGAATTTTACAAAAGATACATATATGATGGCATTGGCCATAGATGAACAATTTATTGATTTTCAAAACTCATTCCACCCATCTAATAAATCTTCTTACCAAAGCTCTGGCGATTCTGTACATTCTCTGAACATTATCATTATCTTCAAAGAAAACGGATTATTCAACTCTGCCTAAGAAAAACCCCCTGCCAGCCATAGTTACTAATTGTATTCATACTCTCAGCTCAAAAAATGCAAAGACTCCATACCTTTCTCCCAACTTTGCCAGTATTATGAAGACTTTTCAGACAGGGCTTTTGAAATGATGGACTTCTTTCCTTATAGATCCTTTTCCTAAGACTACCCTTGTTTCAGCACAATTGAGTGATTCAGTACAATAACTCATGAGGCTTTCAACAAAAAATGAGGGTTGAACTAAACTCATTCTTACCTACCACCCCACAATATGATTGCCAAAAAAATATTCTTAAAGCTTAAAGAATCATCCTTGCTGACCCTGACTCTAACAGGGTATTCTCATACCCTCCAATTATTGTCTTCAGATAACATAAAAATGTATTCTGTCTATGTGACCTTCTGGTCCACAGTTGCCTTCAAGCTGACCCATCGCACATTAGAATTAAACCATGCTCAAGAAGCTGTTGAAGGACTTGTACTGAACACATGTTCTAGAAACTAAACACATTCATTCACACGGCAACTTTTATCATCATAGAGGGTTTCACATGTGTTAGTGTTAGTAGCAATATGATCTATGTGACCATTTGCTGAAGATGCTGCTCCTCTTATATAGGTGAAATGGGAAGAAGGCCATCTGATAGTTCAGTAAAAAGTTCCTGACACCCTTGTGGAGAACCTCTTGCATCCAGTGAAATATCCTCTTCAATACCAGGCACAGAAACACCACAAACCCCATTTACATAAATAGGAGGCAGTATGATCAATACATTGATACAGAAGATCTTCATGATTTTGAACAAAACAAGCCATCCCCGGTCTCACCCCATTTCAAAGGAAATGAACACAAGGGCGCATCAGATGTATCCAAAGATTTCTAACACTGATATACTAGCATGAGTGAAGAATGAAAGCAAATTAATTCAGATTTTGGACAACATATGAAATCAATCAATATATTGAATTTAGTACTTACTTAAAATTATTTTACCTATTGTAATATCCTAGGTCATACCCATCATAGAATTATGTGGTACTGCGTACACACATTTTGGTTTTCAAAAAATGTGGGTTTTTAATTACTGGTATCTGTTCTTTCTTGTTTTGTATTTTCTACTGAAGAAGGCATCTGGTCTAGCTGAAAAGGTGTTTTTAATTGTCCTGCCTTTTCATTTCAATCCTAAACATATCTTGTTGCACTATTTCCTTCACACAGCTTGAACGAAGTCCCTCATATATTATTCTTTATAATATAACATTACCAAAACAAATAAACAGTGAAAGCTCATCTTTTTTTGACATTGGGCGAAATAACATTTATTTTAATATCAGAAATCAGATATTTTAAATACAATTTTTCTGTTGCATATTATTAAAAATAAAAGAATTTTAAGGTATTCGGTATAAAAACTCTCCATTTTCATCATACATAGAATTTCCTGAAATGTATCTTTTTCTTCTATTAACATTATCTGTTTTCAAAGACTGTTTTAGGAGTGAGGGAATACTACTAGGGTGATACTGAAGTTGGTCATTTATGAAACTTGCCTTTCTGTCATTATATTTAGAAAAAGTATTATTTTCATTTTCAATAGGATCTGATTTTTTAGGAACTTCACTAGATTGTTCATTATTTTTTGGAGTTGTTGAATTATCAGCACTGTTCTTTTTATCAAGGGCTTTAGAGATATCTGATAAAATTAATGACAGCCTTGCCAGTTTGTTTTGTAATTGCAGATTATCAATAAGTTTAACTTGCTTATTCTCATAGCAGTCTTCAACTATTGATGAGAAAGGCCCATCTGCAGTAAATGACTTAGTTTTTTTATGAGGAAATGGCAAATGCTTAATGCCAGAAGCATTACAAATAACATCTTCATTGAGTAAGCTTTTCAACTCTCTGTAGACTTCTTCACCAAAGATTGTTGAATCACCATTATCTAAGGCACTTTTGAGATCAATCCAGTTTTGCTGTACTTGCAAATCATGTTTAATAATGTCTTCTTCTCTATGTAACCTGATTGGATTCTTCAATATTTTTTTTACACATTCTTTATTTACAGGAAAACTATTCGCCAGTTTTTCAATGGTCCATTCCAAGGGATCTTTTTCATGTAAAAATCTAATCTGTTCTTTAGCTGTCCATGTTAATAAATTTGGAACTTCTGGCTTTTTGAAATACTTGCGCTCAATAGTCTTGGCTGTTATAAATTTAATTTCTTTCTTAGCGTCCCTGTGGGGGGAAAAAATGTGTTTTGATAAATCATGCAATAGTTTGTTTTTACAAATACTTCGCAACATCATTACTAATACAGTACCCACGAATGAAGATGTTGTTCATGATTACAGATGATATCAGATACCGGTATACTAAAATATTTCTAGTATGACATTTAATAGTGAAAATTTGTTACCTCATTTTGAAATTTCAGCAATACATCTTCAAGAATTTTAAAATTATTTTATCAAAATTATTTTTAAAAAATTAAAACCTAGCAAAGAGTAGAGTCATTGCTTTAACTTTTTGAAGTGGCTATTCGTACCCGGTACCAGAAGTGAGAGGTTGAGATTAAAAAACTATTTAAAATTTGATTGTTGGGTTTGTAAGACAAAATTAGGTATCAAATGAAAGATAATTGAATAGACTATATGTTTGTAAACTTAATTCTTCAGTATAACTAAAATAAACTACCACAAATGACATCCGAATAGCTGTTTAGTGGTCCAATAATTACGCCAACAATTTTCCCCCGTAATTTTTTACCCCCTCCCTGGTCCAAAACTGTCAAACTTTTGATGACCCCCCATTTAATTATGTCAATATTTTATCCCCCCCCCCCCCCCCAATGAATTATAATACCGGTATACATAAATTTATAAATACATTTTACTTTGTGCTGATGTATTTTTAATAACACAAAACTGTAGGAAAAAACATTTTATTACATCTTTAGCTTGTTAAATTAATAAAGTTAAAAAGTTTGTACACTTAAATTTTATAATGCAGAATAAATTAAAAGTTTGTTAAAGACTAAATATAACTGTTTGTGGAAGTATAAATATGATTATTGTCAGTAATGTCAGTATAGCTGACAATTATAGTATAGTTTCTAGTCTATTATCTTCTCATGGAATAGCCAGGTGTTGCTCTATCGTAACAATGGGCATCAGGGACATCATTTAGGTAGCAGGGGGGCATTTGCCTCCCCCACCCCATTTTGCTGGTTTTATTTAAATTGATATGCACTGTGGTGCCTCCAGTAATAAACAACTTAACAAGCCAACCAAGTTTTGGCCCCCCCCCCCCCCTCCTTAAAAAAACCTGAAATGACGCCCCTGATGGGCATAGTCTATAGTAGCTGATTTCTCATTTTCATCTTGCGGAACTGATATACCAGACAAGTCAACATCATCCTTATCTAACTATTCAGCACTTAAAATCGAAGCATTGTCTGTGTGAGCAATAGTTGCCATAAGCTCTCTGTCTTTGAGTTGGTATAGTTGTTATTGAACACTGATGAGTTGGTGTTTTTTGTAAATTGAACACTGTGTACAATGATGTGTTAATCATTCTAGGGAGCGGATTAAAAGAAAAATGACAGGTGAAGAGATGCCAACTTTTGACTTCTCTTGCACTTACAAAGTGTGCTAGCATTCTGACCAGCCATGCGCAGTGCACAGACAGACACACTTTAAATAACTCTTATATTGTTAAAAGCCTGAACATTTACTGTTTACACTCATTAATTAAATTTTTTTAAATAATGTAAGAACCAGTCAATTTTTAAGATTAAAATTTTCATAGAAAAAACATGACTGTTGACGTCAACTAATCTAAACCCCCCTCCCTCCCCCTTGTTCTTGCCTTGTCAACAACTGTCTAACATTTACCCCCCCCCATTTTGTTGACGTAATGTAATGATTGGAAGGGCCGTTAGTCTTAGCCTTGTTTTTATTTTCAATTTTAAGTGTTTTATTATTTTATTTATATATTTATATATTTACAAATTATTACTATATAGTATATAGTCTTTACTATAGTCACAGTAGACTATAGTCTATAGTCATAGTCAGGTGGGTAAATTTAGGCATTAGGCTTACCTCATGAATTCTTCTTTTGCTGCAAGTGCTTGGGATTTGCTGCTATATTTTGTAATTCTGTGCGCTAATTCATCAACGTTGTAAGACTCGTCAGCAAAGGAAAAGTGTTCTTTTCTTATCTGGCCTTTCTTTGTTGTTCTTTTGTTTGGATTTGTGCCCCTTTTAGTTGATGTAGTGACCTTTACAGGTTTTAATTTTAAAGGTATATGTGTTGCATAACTTCTATAAATTGATTGAATTGCTAAAATATTTCCAAATTTAACTTTATTAAAAGTGATGCTCGTTGCTTTCAATAATAAGCTACTAAGAGTAAGAAAATTAGACATCATCGGCATTTTCCTTACTGTAACTGTAACCCAGATGCTGTAGACTCTGTAGACTGTAGTATTGAGTATAGAAGATTATCGGTTATTTTCTACTCATTGATTGTGGCTTTTGGTTCGTTCCCTTAATTGTAAATTTTAGTGGTTTCAGGTTTTGCTTAGTAATTGTAATTAATATAAATTGAAATTAATGTACTTTTATGACGTTCAATCATTACCAAAATTTATAATATTTTTTGTATTAATGCCTTTAAGAAAAGATAAAATTTTTAGATTTTATTGGAGTTAAATGTAGTGGATAAAAACCCGCAGTTTCTTATTCGGCACAGTAAAAATATTTTTTTCCGAAATTAAAAATATACCTGGCATAATTAGGGCGGAAAGGTGGAAAAAAAAAGTCACGGAGATAAATAACGTTAAAAAAAATATTTTTAAAAAGATGTCAACTTGTTTGATTCTTGAAAGTGGAGATTAAATGTGAAGAACAACATGTCTCGCCGATTTAAGTCATATCTGAATAATTTTGAAATGAAAGAAAAAGGAAAGGCTGTAAGTATTAATCATAGTACTAGTACAGTGTACAGTACATTTACAATTTACATATTACATTACATGTATTAATTTGTATCATTCATAATGTAAATGTATGAATTATGAATGTATGCAGACTGACTGACTGTTGTCGCTTGTGCTCAGGAGTCGTGAGGAGTTCGTAGCCTAGACATAAATATAAGGCTAGGTTCATTAATGAATTTAATGAGTGGCTTTCATTAATTGTTATTATTTAGCCTATGTCTATGAGTCTATGTTCAGGCCTATTCATGATCATGACAATTACTTGAAATAGCCATATATAATATATAATATAATATAAATTTTACTTATACTATACAGTACTATACATTACATACTCTACATTATACAGACTACAGGTACACAATAATACAGTTGAACCCGGTTAAGTCGCGGGCCTAAGGGTTTGCCAAAAAGTGTTGAAATAACCGATAATTAAGATAAATGAAAACCAATATGGCAGCAATTTATTAACAATGTGCTTGAAATTTCTTTATGTACATGATGTGCATTAATAAATGAGAATGTAATGTAAATGCACATTTTTTACACAACAGTTTTGCAATGATTTGTTTGATGAAGCGATTGGCATGCTATAAAAATCTACATACATGTTTGCTACAAAAGGCATATGTGCACCAACTAACAGCAAATATTTACCAGCAAACAATAAAAACCACCGTCAATTCTTAATACAAACCTTTATTATATATGCCTACATTGTAGGTACTCCAACTCAAAATTTCAGATACATCTGACATACACAAGGAGCATATCATTGGAAAGAGCTGACTTTAAGCTTTCCATTGACACCAAGATAATCTTTCTATCACTTATAGAAGAAAAGTTATGAATTTTTTAGTGATTTATTTTTTCCCACTATTTGGCTTTGTATTTAATTTTTAAAACTGTGATCGAATTATTACTCTTTTTGTACTATTTTGGTTGTATCTTGTTGGCTTTTAAAGTTAGACTGCTCAAATTTGGAGGACACATTTACAATACAATGTTTAACAAAATTAAACACATGAATTTTGAATTAACTTATTATATTTTTAAAAAAAAATTTTTTATAAGCATATAGCATGGATAACGACAATTGTCGAAAAAAAAATTTTCTTTAAAAAATGACATAATTATTAAACCAATAAAGCTATCACTATGAAATTTTCAATACAAACAGATAATGTCCATCTAAAAGTAAGGCATATTTAACATAAATAAAATACAGATCAGAAAAATTTATGCAGTAGTAGAAATAATATTTTATGAAAAGCAACTGCGGCCGAGAAATTTTTTACATTTAAATATACAACTTTTAAACTAATAAAGCTAATGCAATCAAATTTTCAGTAAAAATAGATAGTGTCCAACCAAATATAATAGAGTATTAAAATATATCAAAAGCAATTAAAATCATGCTATACAAAATTTTAAAATGTCATGTAATCTGTCGACATTGTTTCGGCTCCGGAGGTCTAGCAACACTTCATCCTCATCGATTGGTACATTAAAAAAATATGCCTCCATTGTCAATATCAAATTGGGTTGTTTGTTGATCTCCTCCAAGTAAATACATAGCAAAATTACAGGGAGTGATTACAATCTGTAACTCTGGAAAATAAAAAATAAAGATTAGGACTATTAATTTATGAATACCGGTACATGTAAATAATGATTCAATATTTTTAAATAGGCTTCACAATGTTCTTTATTATATGTACACTTATAGCTGATAATAACTAGGACTAGGGGCTATCTTACTATCTAATTCATTGCTATTTGTATGTCAAAGCACTTTTTTCACTTTGACTTTGTTGTTTTATCTCAGTATATGTATTAGTTTTATTGATCCAAAGCCTGCTCTTATATAATAACTATATAGGCCTAAAGTGTAATTATTATTAAAAACCAGTTATTAAAAAGTTTATTTAAAATCAAACTACTAAGTTATAATACAGGAAATATTTATTTAGTTGTTTGAAAAAGGTTTTAAATAATAATAACCACTGTTTACATTAGAGATTTACCACTTCCGGTAGATCGAGGGGGAAAAAATGGCCACGACTTGGCAACCTTGAATTTTTAGTCACACGGTTCAAGCTCTCATAAATTTTGGGGACGATCTATACTCTTTAAAATAAGTGTTTCTGCTTTTAAAATATATAATCTATGCGAACAAGTAATTTCCAAGTCCGAACGCAATTTAAAAAAAAAAATATAGCACAGCAAACTCACTTACCCCAAGTCAACTTTCCAATTAATCGTCTCAGCAAGGTCAGATTTCCACTTAATTCATACCCTCGTAACCGGCATGCATCGCAGATTTGAATAAAACCAAGGAGAGTCCTCTATTTTTAGAGATGACGCAAAACAACACTAATCACCAAGATCTACCGAAAACGAAAAGCGCCTGCTGATCACAGCGATCGCCGCTCGGCAGGCCTCGTTTTTCTATCGCGGGCGGCGAAAGTATTGGAGTGCCTATACATTGCAAACACAAAGATCGTTCACAAAAAACACTGGGGTATAGTTCGTTTTTACAAAAAGCTAACCAGTGTGAAAATTAATTTTGCGGGTAATTGCACTCTGAGACAGCTCTGAAAAGTATTGTACACGCTGCTACTATGGTTTCTTTACAAAGTCTAAAATACTTTGTTGCTTTTTGTCTTTAAAAGTCTGCTTGAATACAAATGTTTCAATATTATTTATGCTGTCTAAAACATTTTCATCTCCTACAGAAGAACCATACCGTTGAATTTTCTGTATCATTTCTACCACCTAACAGCTGAGGGAATTGGTTCCAAATCTTCATCCGCATATTTGTCCATGTAATCTCGGAATTCCTGGACAGTGATGGCTAACTCCTGTGCCTCCTCTTCCAAGATAGCATCTGTAAGGCTTGATTTTTCCGCCACTTTGCGAGTTCTTCTGCGGCTGCATGGCACTGTGCCTGAAACTCATCTTCGGAAATATCCTGAATGATGCAGTGCATCCAGCAGTTTGAGATTTTTTCCTTCTTCACGTCATTCCAGGTTGATCTCAGGAAGTTCATTGCATCTAGAAGGGAACAGGTGTACTGTGCCTTCTTTTCATTATGGAGCAGGTATTGGCCCATCAACATTTTCCTTTAGTACACCTTAAGCACTTGGATTATACCCTGGTCCATTGGTTGGAGCTTACTCATTGTGGGAGGTAAAAGATCTTGATGGCCTTGAGACCAGGAACATCTGGATGAGCTCTACAGTTGTCAATGTCATTGCCACCTTCCTTTTCTCTGCTTGGAACTTACTGTCCCACTTTTTTTACCCATGCACTGAATAGATCTCCTGTGATTCAGGCACTTAGCTGGCCATCGTAATCACATGGGAGAACTTTGGTCTGCTTAAAGCATTTGGGATTCTTGGACTTTCCTATAACATAAAGCGTGAGTTTTTGGCTTCCATCCATGTTCGCAGCAACTAGCCAACTAGCACTGCAAGTCGATCCTTCGAGTTTTCCCCACGAAACACCATAGTCTTGTCTGGAAGGCATTTCCAAAACACCCCGTTTCATCAGCATTAGAAATCTTCCTAGTCTCTTAGGTATCCAAAATTTTGCACATTTGAGTCTTCAGCCATGAATCCACTTGTTCCTGTTGAACTGCAACGCTCTTTCCAAAAATTGATTTGAAGAAAATGTTGTGCCTCTTTTTGAAAAGAACCAGCCACCCCTGAATTGCTTTAAAGTCAGGGTGTCCTAGCTTTGCAGCAAGAATGTCTGCCTTCTCCATCAGCAAGGGACCATTGAAGGGAAGGTTCGTTGCTCGCATATTTGTGAACCATTGAAACATTGCATCGTCAACATCTTTGTTCTCAGCCAGTTTTTTCTTGCTGGATCAATTTCAGACTTCTCGTGCATTAGCTTTATCATGTCGGCCTTCTTTTTCAATCCTGAAATAATGTTTGCTGGATTGCCATGCGGATGACTAAGGTCTGTTGGTTTTGTTCCTTTTTCTAGCTGCAGTATAATTTCATACTTTTTCTCTATTGACTGATTGTCAAGTTTTCTCTTGACATCTCCAGACCTTTTTAGAAGGAAAAAAATAAACAGGATAGCTACAGCGTTTTATCCTTCAGACAAGGTCAACAAGAATGAGTGAACTGTCATTGGAATGGACCGGGATGCAAGTGCTAAGTGAACTCAGCACATGCGCAGTGAACCAATTACGACCAATTTTATTGGTTAGTCCAAAGCTAGCATAAATGTAACCAATCGCAAGAGGTAAATTTAAAAAAATAAAAAGGTCGTGTTCTTGCAAAATAGGATTTCCATTGCCATGAAAGAAACTTACAGGAGTCAACACCTGGCAATAAGGGACCGCGTATATTACTGTAGCAAAAGTTATCACCCAGTATAGGGATTCTTTCACTCCTGTCTTTTGAGAAGTAAATTATTTTTAATAATGCAAAACTTGTTTATTTATTGTGTGCTATTTCTTCTTGTGGAGTTCAAAAGCCGGTGTTTGGTCATGGGGATCGAGATAACCCACATTGATTGGCAAATTTGGCCCCCTTTTGTGCTCAAGATATTGAGGTTCCGTGACATAAAGGAATCGACATAATCAATGAGAAAATGCAAAAGCAAAGAGAGAAAAACGTTGACTAAATAGGGTTGGCAACACAACCGCGGTCGAGACTGTAATGCACATGATACTACTTATAGTAACAGAGGTGCCTCCAAAGGATAATATATCATTAAACAGTAAACAGTTTATGTCTTCATTAAAAACTTAATAGACTTAAATATTATAGTGTAGTTTTATTATTATATATATATATATAATAGTGTGGCAAATTTTACTTTTCATTATCCCCAGTTGTGGCTGTTTTGATAATTTTGGAAAAGGTTCCACCGTGGTTACTATAATCTATATATAGGATAGTATAGCTCATGTAAAGGAAAACATGAACATGTATTTTCGGATCCAGGCATTTCCCATGGCCCGAAATGCATTTTTTCCATTATACGCAATCTCAGGAACACTTCTATCAAATAAACATTTCACAAATCCTTCATAATTACAGACATCTCACCACTTATGACACACTACATCCAATTATTACTAGATATACCTAAGTCCCTGTAGCATAATAATATTATTAGACCCTATCCCTCAATTCATTATTTAATGATCAGTTGTAGTGTTAGGCCACTTCTTAGGATAGTTGGCTAGGCCTATAGCTATAGGTTAAATTCAACGGTAGTGACTTATTGAGTTTGAGTGACTGACTGATTGATGATGAAATAGAAGAATGTCTAAGCCTACTAGTAATAATTACTTAAATAACTTAGTAATACCCAAAATAAATCTTGTAGATACTTCGATACGCATCCATGCATCCTTCTGAGCAGGTCGAAAAATGGCGATAATATTTGCGGCACAGATTCTAAAAAGGATTTCCTATTATTTTGGTTAAGTGTGTTTTACGTCATTGTTGTACATAATTTATTGATTTCCTCATCAGTGATGTTGCAACTTTTCTTTTCGTTTTGAAATTACTGAATTTGAAGCAATTTTTTTTCACATGCATATCTGTATACCCATCTGGTTAAGATTTGATCACATAATATTGTTGTTCTTAATTTGGGACATCCATTTTTTTTACCTTCCCAATAATCACACCCCCGCCTCTGCAAATCATAGAAATAAATCATATTCACTTACCATTGTGGTATGGAAGTAATTAAATGTGTGTGTGTGTGTGTATATATAATATACATACATATATATATATATATATATATATATATATAATATATAAAAATAAATATGAAATAAAGTCACCACATTATCAAGATATTTTATTATCCTTATGTTCCACACATTTTCCCAAAGAACATTTACAAGCACAATTATCCATTTGAAATAATTCCACAAACTAACATAATATTTGACACAAGCATTTTTCAAAAAAGCAAATTCAGTGGCATAGAAACTAGCCATAAATCACAGATAATCTTATTGTGGAACTTTATTTAATAACTTTTAAGCTATTTTTTCCCCCTCATTTTGAAGTATTGGGTAGAAACGACTAGGGTTGCAAGATTAAGAAATATATGACACAACTAGAGAAATCTTTGTTTTGGTACTAATTCTCATTTTAAAAAATAAAAAAAAAATTAAAAAATCACTCCAATAAGATATAGCTTATTGATTAATATTTTACAATATATCTCTCTAAAACAAATCCTCATCAACATATATTATATATGTATTGATATGTCATAATAAATCTCATCTTCAGATTTAATTCCGAACAAAAGGGACCACTTCTGGTTCAAAATATTCAATACTGTTTAGTGTTTTTGTTTGTGTAACACAACTGATGATCACATTTAAAAGTGTCCTGAATTTCACCATCATAGCTGCACCAATAGTAACACAAGCCACCACATGTTTTTTTAAAGAAATATGAAATTGATCTCAGTGAATATTTTCATGCTATTGTCTTTGAGCCTGGATAGCTCGCAAATATATTTATTAAGAGTGTTTGCTTTGTTTTTTGAGCTAACCAAACATAACCATCTTAGAGTCAGTTTAAGCTAATAAACTTCATACTGCTTAATCTCATAAAACACCATACTGCTAATGAATTCATAGCAACAGTTTGTGGTAGATAAGGCATGTTTATTTCCTGAAATAATGTATATAAAAAACATTATTTAATGCCATCCAACATATCTACAAACTGATTTAGATTATTTTGGACCCCCCCCCCCCCCCAAAAAAAAAAACAAAAAAAAACAACCCCAACACATTGTATCTACAAAATGGGTCAAATCATTTGATCTATTCTAAGATTATATCTATAATGAGGTGAATTATGAGGTTATGTAATACATCTTTTATCCACATTATTTTGTAAAAATTAATTAAATAGTTATCTAACTTTATCCTTTGATATTTGACAACAAATAGAAAGACAATGTAGTTGCTAAAAATACCTTTTAAAATATGCAGTTTGCCTAATGTTTCCATGACTATTTGTGTTTTGATGGGTTTATTAAGCCTTTTTAAGCAAAAATTGTGCAATTTATAATGAATGTGGTAAAAATCTAATGCCCAATGCTATATTGGATTCAACCCAGTTGTGCTTCATTGATTTTTTTTTAGTCAGTAAGTCTCTATTTTAATTTTTAAAAACTAGATCTAATAATGCAATTTACTTTTAAAATAATATCCTTAATGTACTGAATTTAGTCAATATACAACTATCTGCTAAAGTATTTTTTTTTAACTTGTCCTGACAGTATTTTTAATAATTTAGGAGCAAATTAACTAAACTTTTTATGTTAAATTTCTTCAAAGATTGCCTTTTCATAAATTTATGATATTAAAAATGTCATGGACATTTTGAAATTGGTATAAATCAAGATAATATCAAATGATTCTTTAAGTAAGTTAAATAACATATGCATGTTTAACCTGAATATATCCAACCTAAATGAATTGGTTAGGCAAATGACCATGATAAACTTTATTGGTTGCTCAGTTTTGATCATTTTTTATTGTTATTGTTGAGATGGGGATGCATAATGAAGCAATTATTTGCAAATCAGAATTTGATTCTGAGAACATTTTATTATCAATTTGTTCTTTTGTGTTTCTTTTCTTTTTTCTTTATACAAATGTTTTGAATAGGTGATGGTGTTTCCAAGAAGAGCCCTAACTCATGTACATCATACATGCCAACCTGTACATTTTACCCATACTTTGTACAGATTTTAACAGTTGTTTGGATTGAACGGGTGTACAGGAATCTTTATGGGTTTTCACTGGATTTAGAAAAGAAATGTTTTTTGCTAACTACAGTGAAGATATACTTTTGAAAAATCCTAGCTGCCAATGCTATAAATTCAATGTTGGTCTACAGGAAGCTGCATCCTCTTGGGCCCTTCAAATGCCCTTGACCCAAATTCAGGGATTGGTAGGGACCCCATCTATATTTAGAGACTGAGCACGGTTTGGTTGAGACCATTCATTAATACTATAGCATTGTTCAGTAGTAGCTACTTTAAGTAGTAAACTGTCATCATTATCAGTGGCGCTACAGCCCATGTAGGAGCCTGGCCTGCTCCACTACACCCTTCCATTCAAAACGATCCATGGCTTTCCGCCTCCATGCGGGAACCCCCAACTGGTGTAAATCCTTCTCTACATCGTCGATCCATCCCAGCCTTGGGAGACCGGTGAGTCGTTTCTGCCTGTAGATCAATTTTGCTGCTCTTCATTCCGCCATCCTTTCAATATGTCCTGCCAAGCGCAGTGTGCCTTTTTTTTTTATTGTTGCGACTATGTGTATAATTGGTATAGCTCTTGGTTTGCACAGATTCTTCAGATATCATTTTCCATCACGAGGCCATATATTTTTCTGAGGATTTTCCTCTCCCATGTATTGAGAAAGTTCTCTGCATTTCTGGTAAGGGTCCAAGTCACTACTGGTCTTATGATAGTGGTGTATATTGTATTCTTTGTTCCCCTTGAGAGGTTTTTGGTTCCCAGTAGTTTTTGTATGCTGAAATAGGAACGGTTGCCTGCTGTTATCCTTTCTTTCACCTCTGACATTATTTCATTGTGCTCGTTTGTAGTTGCCACTAGATATTTGAATGTATCCACTCTCTATATTGATGTTGTCATCAGTGTGGGAATTTCGTGACATTAACATATATATTGTCTTTGGTTTATTTAGACTGAGGCTTTATCAAGTTCCCTGAATGCTTTAATTATGTCATTACTGTCTCTACCTAGTAGTGCTATATCGTCAGCATATGCCAGGTACTGCAATGGTTGGCTATATAAGATTCCTGATGGTTGCTGTTGTTCTGTAATACCTCTCTGGAAGTAGTTTGTTATGGTTCCACTGGTGCTCGTGTGTATGCTTTTCTAGGCTGATGTTAAACAGGATACAAGATAGTGATTCTCCTTGTCTGAGGTCCGAATTAACTGGGAACTTCCTTGAGTATTCTCCCTGCACCTTGATTCTGCGTTTGGAGTAAGCCATCGTCATATGTTTGAGCCGAGTAAGCTTGTTATGGACTCCAAGTTCTTGTAGAACGTTGTATAAATAATTCTTGTCTATGCTATCGTATGCTGTTTTGTAATCCATGTATAGTTGGTGTATGCCAATGTTATATTCGTAACATTTCTCCAGGAGACATCTTATAGTAAAAATATGATCTGTGGTTGACCTATTTTGCCGGAATCCCCATTGGTAGTCCCCTAGGATCTGTTCACTATACTTTTTCAGTTTTCTTGCTATAAGTTTTGTGAGGATTTTGTAAATTACATTAAGGAGGGAAATTCCTCTGTAGTTTGAGCAGACCAACTTGGGTCATTTTTTGTGAATTGAGATTATGAGTGCAGTGTCCCATTCTATTGGCATTTCTTTCTCCTGCCAGATTCTGGATATGAGGTTGTGAAAATTTTTTGCTCACAACAGTGAGGATACACTTTTGAAAATCATAGCTGCCGATGCTATAAATTCAATGTTGGTCAACAGGAAGCTGAAATCCTCTTGGGCCATTCAAATGACATTTGGCCCAAATTCTGGGATTGATAGGGTAGGGACCCCATCTATATTTAGAGACTGAGCACAGCTTCGTTGAGACCATTCATTAATACTAAAGCATTGTTTGGTAATAGCTACTTTGAGTAGTTTACAAATCGGTTTGTTTAATTCTTGTTATAAATTCTTATTAACACTTCTTTATTTCCACATCGCGCCTATGGGGGAAAAAACACCTACTATCTGCATGACATTTCTCCCATTACGGTGAAAAATAAGGCCATAAATTGACGTTAAACATAATAATTCTGTTATTGTCAAGGTGTAAACGTGCTAAAATGCATTTTCATGAAAATTAGCCTTAGCAAGAAGGCAAAGTTTGAATGCATTCAAAACATTGATTATTAAATAATGAACAAGTTTTAAATGAGACTTTTTTTTCTTTCAAATTTTCTTCTTTTGTATGGTTTTTCATGCTGTTGTACAGTTTTAAAAAAAACTTTTGTACAGTTCTTGATCCCAACAGGTTGACATGTATGATTTACATTTTATGTTCAAATGAAATATTAACAATTAGAAATGAAGGAAAATGTGTTTTATGAAATGGGTTTGGAATAGATTTGTACCCTCTATGAAGTTGGCATTATAAGTGCATGCGTTATTGCAATATTCATCGCACCTTGAGTTTAAAAAATAATAATAAAATGGCTTTACACTGTCTATTTTGGTATGTAATTATTATCATTAAACTTTCACAGGGTCCTCAACACATAACTTTTGCAGTGGTACAGAACTGGTCACTTGTTTTCATGTGCAGAAAAGCTCTGTACTTGTTTTAACCCAAATTCTTTAAATTTTGATTAATAAAACTTAAGCATATCTTAAATGTGTATGTTTTGTGCTATGCCAAGTATAAAAAATCTAACCTTTTGAATTTGAACTTCTTGTACCACAACATTTAAGCCAAAACTCCTAGTTGTTAAATTGGCTCTTCACATGCACAACTTCAAATTTAAAAAAAAAAAGAGTCATTTTTAACTTACGAGCCAGTGGGCCCATTTTTAGGCGGGTATTAAAATTTAAAAAATTTATTGGAACGCTTGTCCTGTTTTCTTACCGACTCTGTCACTTGGCTCATTTATTGGACTATCGTCATTGCCTTCCTGTATTTGGGAGTGTAAAAAATCATCAATACATTTCTTGTCATACATGGTTAATTTCTCACTCATGTGAATCAATCTCAGAACTCCCTTGGTATTCTCATGTTTTTGTTTTGTTTTGGGTTTTAAATTATTTAACATTTGTTTTCTTAAAATGTTCATTTTTGGTGATTGAAAATAAAGAAATATATACCTAAATTGGCATTTGAGCTAATGAATCTTAATCCCTTTTTAAAACATGGATTAGGTGGATGTGGGGGTTAAGTGAGGGAGTGAGTTTCTTTACACTTCCAGCAATTATAATAATTCTGAAAGAAAAATGAGAAAAAATTAGACTTTATTACTGCAGTATGTCTTCTTGGCATGTCATCTTCAAAGGGAATTTCTTGGCATGCCATCTTCAAGGGGAATATTGTTTATGCTCTGATTTTGTCCTATTTTGCTAGATGTGACAATTTTCCCTGGGCTTTCTTTTTACTATAAAACCTTGCACTTGCAGACATTTCAGTCTTATATAGACCTCAGTGATGATGAATTTGATGAAGAGCAAGATGTGAGTACACTGTGTAGACTAATATGGAATCGTACTGCCATTTTGCTTTTATAATTGCTTTGGTATTTGTGTGATTTTTGCTTAACACCCCGGTTATTGCCATTAAATTGCTTGGTTTGGATTTAGAATACTGATATATTGGATACACCCTGTAGCTCTTTTGTGCTATTTACTTAATAAAGTTTTATATACTATAGTAGTTATATCTAAATTTCATAAACTCTAAATTTACGACATGTTCAATATTAAGATGGCTTTGTGTGTAACAGTGATCTTTACTAATTTCCAGTTAGAAATAGATACTATCAAAATATGAATTGTGGGTGAACGTTTGTGTCTTCTTTAGGTCTACTTTTAGTTTTATTCATTTTAAAGTAATCAACAAATGTTTGTTTCAGTAACTAAAAATCTTTTTAAAATATTAAATTTATCAAGGTTTTTTTTTTTTTTTTTTGGCTCTGTAGAAAAGGTTTGGTGCATCCCAGCTGATAAGATAAAAAGTACTTTATTACTATTTCACCCTAAGTCAAGAGTCAAAGTTATTGTTAACTCAACTCAAGCCATATATTTATTTGAACACTAAGTATTGAAACAAATAACTTAATCTCCATTCCTTAAGTGTTTGAAAATCCACCTCTCTTCTGATGAGTCATATAGTGTTGACTTATAGACTTATTATGAATCAATATTATAGTCCATAGAACGTACTATTGCTATCAAGGAAGATGTCTGTGTAAATAGTATCAACAAAGAAATCAATCACAAACATTGCATTAGGTTTTACCTATTTTTGGTTGTGGGTAATAAATGTATATAAATATTGATAATAAGAAGAATATCCTTTAACATTTGATTTTTACTAATAACTTATCAGTTGTTAATTCAGCATTAGACTGGTTGTACACCATTTTATTAATTTACCAGCAGTTTATATCATCTTTTGTTCAAAAGCTTTCACATAAAAAATTTTGATTTTTTTTTCTCTACTTCTGTTCCAATCTAAAAGCTAGATTCACATAAATTTTTTTAAATATAAAATGCAGGAAATAGTGAATAGTGAATCTTCAATTAGTTTTTCCTTTTTTAAACATCATGCAAAACAATAACTTTTTACCCTCATTTCTTTTTTTTTCTTTTTTATAAAAATTTGTTCTTGATTCACATCTCAAACTTTCTGTCACTATCTATAATTTAAACGACTTCCAAACATCTTTTGCATAAATGCTTGCACATTCAGTTTTTTTATTTTATTTAGGATTGTGAGACATGACTGCTTGTACTCTTACGGTGGTTTCAAGACTAAATGTTTTTGTAAAAACTGAATTTTAAACAAAATTGTTGACAGTGGATGAATTAGAATGTTTGATGAAGCCACATAAACTAATACAAAAATAAATGGGGAATATTAAAAATATTGATAAACTACCAACACTTTGCCATGCATGGACTTACGTAAATTAATTGCATGCTGATTTATTGTATGTCATTATTAACCATGATGCTTTAAGTAATGAATTCTCTAAGTTAAGATATCATTGCTTGCATTTTCTTGCATGTTTTTTTTTTAAATTTGTTATTGCAGTATTGTGCAAAATGGTGACACTAATTTTTAAAATGTTTAAATGATAGATCTGCTTTAATAAGAATTGTTAGAACACTAATGCCGTCACATTTTCTATTTCATCATAATATCTACTTCAGTGCAAGGAACATGTTTGAGTTAATTATAGGAAGCTTAGTAGTTGATGAGCTAAAACACTTTTGAACCATTGCATCACCCATACGAAGAAATAGTTGTTATTGAAGTGAAATTGTTCGATGGGGAGAGAACTCTTTAAATTTAATCAAATGTCTCATTATTGTCACATTGATTGAAATCTTGTGTTGGAGTAGTGGCATGGGTGTAAGGTGTGATGGAGTGGAGATGTCTATATGCTTAATTTGTTATCATGGGGGTTTGGGGGGGGGGGTGTTTAATGTGTGTGCGTGTGATATTTTGATCTCTAGAGACACTGTTATAAACATAAGGTTGTCCTACAAAAGTCAGCATTAGTTTTTATTTCTCTCTTATGCGCTGTATTTTAGTCTTTCATTTGGAAACATTAACTAATGTTTGCAAATATTGTCTTATTGAACTCGTGCTAACAAAAGAATGAGTGAAACAAGTTTTGAAGTTATATATGTTTCAAAAATATTTTTTTAAATTTTTTTACAGGAAGAAGTTGAAAAGGTAGCATCAGCATTTTTTGACAATCTCCATGAGCCAAGAAAATTACAGGGTTAGCTTTGTTTCTTTATTTTCCAGAATCGTCTCTATTAGCAACGTTTAGTACTTTGAGACTCATTCCATTTTACTTTTACAAGGTATTTACATGCCGGTTACTACTGAGTGTTAGTTTGTTTTATAAGAGATACATTTGAAGCAAATTTCATATTTTATAACAATGAAGACATTTCTTACCACATACTATTTCTTTATTTTAACACCAGGAGAACGAGTTATAGCAGGAGCAGACAGTGTGCTGATGTTTGCTCCATTTTCCAATAGAAAGCAAGGCATCTCTGGACATGTGTTTGTTACAAACTTTAAAATAGCATTCGTTACAGCTGACAAGTCATCTTACCCTGATGGTGATGTAAGTATGGTGTGTCTTTGCAATAAGACTTAAGTTGTTTTTTTTCAGCATCCTTAGGTAGAGATTGGGTGGGTTTTTAGTACTAACCAGGAATGTTCCCTCCAAGGTTTGCTAGTTCGTGTGCAAAATCATTCAGTTGTGTGCAAAATTTTACAGCCCACAAACACACACTTACATGGAAATATGCTGCGCGGATACTCAAAACTGCTGCGCGGATACTCAAAACTGCTGCGCGGCGTCTGTGAGTGAGCTGGGCAGCCGCGCAGCTTAAAGGGAACATTGCTAACCAGTAATATATAAAAAATACTTGCTGAAGAACATTTAATGCTAAAATTAAGTACTGTTGTTTTATTTTTAGAATAATAGGTCATCTCAGAGAAATAAACTTCTTGAAAATACTGACATTCCTTTGACATGTGTGGATACTATTTATCAAGGTTGGTACCTGCCATTATCTAATTATCAGTATTAAGAAATAGCTGGCATTTACAAAAATATTTTTTTCATTATTATTTTATATTTTTGTTTTTGTTAAATTTGTTTTGTATTCTTAAGGAACTATATAAACTTGATTTAGATTTTGTTATCTGTACCATCTCGCTTGCTGAATTTATTCAAATTCCTTATGGAAATACATTTGTGAAAGTATCTAATAAATGCATTCTTATTTATCATTTGAATTTAAATATAACTTAATGTAAAGTATTAATAGAAATTAAATTATATCTATTTTGAAGTTTTAAATAGTTAATTTTTTTATAAAAATCAAAGGTTTTGCCAACTTTTAAAAATTATGGAATCCTGATTTGTGCATTACAATCATATCGTTAATGCAGTTGTTGCTGTAGTCCAAAGGGCACTTTGAAAATTATGGGAAATTCAATTTGATTATATGCTATTTGACAGAATTCTACTCATTAAAGGAATTGAAGAATGAAATACTAAAAAAAATGTAAAAGTAACTGTAATTAGCTTTAATGCACTTAGATTTACAAAGAAATATAAAATAAATTTAATTTAAAAATTTCAAAATAATTGAATAACTCATAAAAATGCATTAGGATATATTTTTGAGAATTAAAATATTTTACACCTGTCAGAGCAGTACAGTTAAATTGAATTAAAATTGTAAAAATAACAAAAAATTAAAATTAATAATATTTACTTGACCATGTTCCCCCAACAGTTAGTTCCGGAGAAAGACGTAGAAAAGTAATTCCAGGAAACACTGTCACTACTCCTACAAAATATTTAGAGATACATTGCAAGGTAAAATAGTTACAATATGAAATTGCTAGACCACAGGTGCGCAACCTTTTCCAAGTCATGATCCATCTTATGGAAGGAAATGCCCTGATAGATTAAAAAAAGCCTTGGTAAAAGAGAAATCACAGAAAATATTTCAGTACAACTATATAGCAATTTAAATTATTACATTTAAAGTAATGATATAAATTATATAATTACAAAATAACTACAATCTACATTTAATGTGATGAAAAATATTGTATAACTCATTTGGAAGCTTCAAAATTAGAGTTTTTGTTTATCCAAACCTCATGTCATTCTCAACTCTTCATCCTTTTCTTATTTTACAAATGTACGCTCACAGAGATGTGTAGAAGCAAATTGTATTACAAATTGAAACTCATGAATGGTTACATTTGGATAATACTAATGCATAACACACCAGAATTGATGCGATGATATTGATTTTTATCTCCCAAAAACTGCCTATATATACACTCTGGTTTACCTGTGCGTCACTTGGAAACACACATTATAAAACTTAACTCCTCATATTTGTATGGGTTATAGTCGATATTGAAAAATATATTACTCAACATTTAAGACATTGATTTAAAATGAAAATTGCTTTGAAATCATTATTTTTTTAGATCTGTTTCAGCCAGCTACCCCAAAGAAAACCCATTTAGGGTTTATGTCAAGCATAAATTAAGACCAAAACTCAAATGGCCAAGATACTTCTATTTCTTTGAGCTGCAGCTGTATTGTGATTTCCTTTTAACCTCTAAATCACATCAGGCTATCTAAGATTGGTTGGGACAATCCTAGCCTGTATCAGAATTCCTGTATGCTAACTGGGATTTTTATGGGACACATCTTTTTTCCCTACTCTTTTAATTTTTAAAGGATAACCTATCAATTATAAGAATAATAAAATTAATCTGTGAGATTTATTTAAGAATAAAACACATGAAAACAGTGTATATATAAACACATATGCACAAAAAATGTATTGTTAGAGAACCATGGAATAACATCATTTAAACTACCATAGCAATAATGCACACAAAAAAAGCCCATAACGCCCAGACCACAAATAATAATAATTACCTGTAGCTTAGCACAAATAGGTGCTAACAGCATTGGTTCAGCTTTTGAAATGAAATTTTCTTGTTTTATTTCTTAAAGGAAAAAAGTTATTTAAGCAAACCTCTTATAATTATAACTTATAAAAAAGAATCCTTTTGAAATTTTTTACGATCAGTTAAAAATAATACTGGTTATATTTGAAATTTAAGTTTAATGTATTGTCTTTTCTTGGACAGGATTATCAGATACACATATTTGGATTTAAGTTTACACCAAAAGACCAAGTTAAACAGGTTGGTCTTTTACAAAGCAATTTGATACTTAAAGAAGTGTTTTTTAAAAGCTGTAATCTTGAAAATATTATTTTAAAAATTAAGTTTTCTGCACACATCATCCAGAAGGACAGCTTGCAGAAAAGTAGGAAAGCATTCATTTATTATTGGCTTAAAAGTGGGGTACCGGTACACAAACAGGTCAGTTTAGAGTCAGGTTTCTTGAGTTAGAGGATTGTTTTTAGAAAACAATGCTAAACCCAATGAGGAAAGTGTGTTCAAAATCAAAGAAAATTGTTCTCTTTGTTGAAATCCTTTAGTCTGATCTAAAGTTAATAAATTCAATATAAATCCATTAAAAAATCCACTGGCTTATTCCACCCACCTTCTCCACCTTAAATGTATTGCATTGAGAATAAAATGATGTAACTGACATGCTCCTCAATGGCACACCATATGGCAGCATCACTGGTCAGGTCCACTTTGCAGAGGAGAGTCCCCATTTTAATGTAGCCCAGATGTTCATTTTCCTCTCTGTGCATAAGTCTTAAATGTTTTGGAATAAGAGGGGCATTTGCTTCAGTTTCTTTATATGGCTATTGAAATAAGGGCCTACTCTTACTATCATTATAACAAATTGCCCTAAATTTTTAATTGCATAGGAATTTAAAACAAAATACTCAATGATGAACGGCTAATTAATCAGCATCTACCTGAGCTAGAGAGTTTGATAAATCAGTAAACTGCCACTTTAGTTATTGGTGTAGCCCCAGTCTGGAGAACTTAAAAAGGTTTAAATGATGACCCTGCCTTTGTCAAATAAATTATTTTCTACTGTATTACATGCTAATAACTGGATATTTTATAAGATCCTACTGTGGCAACTTTTCAAGCTGTAATATTAAATGTCCAAAATAAAAATGAAGCATAATCTTTTCTCCACCCTAGGCCTAGAGTTTGTGAATGACATTATTCTGCATGCTAAGGTTCTTTCCTTTCGCTTTTTTTTTTTTTTTTAACACATCTCTTTTTGTCAGCAGAAGAATGTTTTTAGCACCAACGAGTTTGTTATTTTGCTTTATCTCAATTTCTGAGATCTGCTTTACCGTGTGGGTGAACATATCCTTGATATTTATTCAGCAGCTAAAATGTGCTAATTGATTTACACCTATTACATTTTAGGTCACTGATGCCATAGCACACTTTTCATACCCATCAAAAGATGATTTACTGTTTGCATATGAATTTGGCCACAGCAGCCAGTTTGAAGGTACAGTCATTGTTTTTTTTTTCAATTTTAATTCATCAATGACTTTCTTTTAATTGTTTTTATTTTTTTAACAACAAATGATTCATCATCTAAACTGAGACAGCATTGTAATATAGTTCATATTTTCACATGAGTAAGCCACTTACCAACTTACTCACTATCAGAGTCAAATTCTGAGGCACAACAATTTCTTCAGCTTATGCCTATAGTCAGAATAAAAAGAATCATTACCTTTTTCATTACAATCAAAGATCTCCAAGTATCTGTGTGTTTTCCAGCCCTCTTTCCTACATGCAGGAATTGAGTGGTCATCAATTGCTATAATTAGCATCACTGTTTATGCTCAGTAAAATAAAAATTGAAAGAACAAAGTACAACTATTTTTAAATCATAAAACTGAAGTTTTTACTTTATCCATTATATTTGAAAAATGTATTCCCTACCTTCAGATTATCAGTCCCCACAATACTTGGTGAGAGAAGATTGGGAGAAAGAGCTTGAGCGACTCCAATGTACAACTATGTGGAGAGTTTCGGATGCCAATTACAATTTTCAAATAAGCACAAGGTAATCTTATTTTTTAGAGAGTAAACTATTATTATAAATTGATACCTTTAGAAGATGCTGGATTGTGCAGCTCCAAAAGTGATCTACTGGCAGTAAACTATGGGGTAGATGGCTCACCAGTTGACCAAGACTGAGATGTATTGGCAATGTAAGGACTTGCATCAGCTGGAGGTGGAATGCAATGGATCGATGTTGTTGAGCAGGCCAGGGCCCTTCATGGGCTGTAGCGCCACTGATAAGATTATAAAATTTTGATTTTGTATCCTTGCCAACCTAAGATTTCAATATGAAATCTTTGCTCTAATTAATTTTTACCCTATATATAAGCTGATTAACAAACAGCTCACTCAAAACAATAGTTAAAAATACAGTGGAACCTCTCATAACGAGCATAATTCGTTCCAGAATCTTACTCGTTAAGCGAAACACTCGTTAAACGAAACAATTTTTCCCATACAAATCAATGTAAAATACGATGAGGCGTTCCATGCTGAAAAATACTCATTTTTCAAACATTTTTATTAACATTAATTATGAATTGTTAAGGAACGTAACAACTTGGAATACAATTTAGATTTGAAACAAAAAAGTAAATAAAAATATGAATTTATGACAAATAATTAATCCTTTTTAACTAGAAAACTGTCTAAAGACATTTGTTTTTGCAGACGCTTCAAAATTTGATGAAAATGTGTCACAGCATTATCATTGAATAAATTTGTAGCATGAATAGCCACCTCCTTATTAGGGTGATGCTACTCAATGTACGATGCAACAGTTTCCAATGCTCTCAGTATTTCTCTTATTGCACTAGAAGATTGTTGCTCTGCTACTTCCTCCTCCATTAATGAGCTCTCCTCCATAATTTCTTGCTGTGAAACACAATGCAACTCCATAATGTCGGGAAAAGGGGACTTCCCCTTTCTGCGTAACTCGTTATGCGAAATGTCACTCGTTAAGGGAGCAACTTCTTCACATTTTTTTGCTCGTTATGCGAATTACTCGTTATGAGAGGTGCTCATTATGAGAGGTTCCACTGTATATCTTTTAAAAAATGGGATTTATTCTGCTTTGCCTTATTTTTCTCTTTATAGTACATATACTGTTTACTTACAAGTTTTTCGTGTATCTCTGTTCTGAGCTTTCCTTTATAGGTCATTCCACTTCTGCCTTGCTATTTTTCTAACTCTAACCAGTTCCCTCCACCATGTGGTGGGATTGGCAATGCATTGATTTTTCTCAATTTAAATTTTAGCTGTTCTGGTTCTTGTAATATCAGACCTGTTTACTTGTATGATTTTGGTGTACAATGTACGATTTTGAGATTTCTTTTAGGATTGTACGCCAAGACCCATCAGAACTACGATTTAAAGAGACAGGGTTGAAAATATACACATTCCGATAGTTTTTCCAATTTAAAAAAAATAATACTAATGATTCAAAAGTTAATTTTCTGTTGTTAGTTTTAATTTGCAATTGCATTCCACATCCATCAGAATCATTACCTTTAGAAAATATGATTGGTTGGGGACCATGTGTAATACATTACTTGTGAGCTGAGAGGGGAATGGAGTGGTGTTGATTTTAGGAGATTTTGGTGGGAGAGGGTGGCCCAAATATTTAATTCTATACAAATTAACAGCGTCACATTTTTGTAATGATTGGGGAGGGGGGGGGGGGGTGTCTCGGTAGAATGTATGTACATTATTAAAAAATTCTACAATATTCAGAAACTCTGAAAGTAAAAAAAATAGCATATTTAAATCTCAAATCCTGTAAAAATAAGCGTCACATTTTTGTAATGATTGGGGAGGGGGGGGGGGTGTGTCTCGGTAGAAAGTATGTACATTATTAAAAAATTCTACAATATTCAGAAACTCTGAAAGTAAAAAAAATAGCATATTTAAATCTCAAATGCTGTAAAAATATCACACAATGATTTTTACGAATTATTTTCAAAGGGTTGCAATGTATTTTCACAAATGAACTCGCTAGATATCCTCAGATAGTACTAAGTAGTTGAGGTATTACAGTAATATTTAGTCCACCTTATGTTCAACATGCATGTGACTGAGGTACGGTTTGTTGGGCTATGCCAGTGGCTCTAAAAATTTTGTTCCTGGCGCCTATGCCAAAGTCAGGTTTTCACCAGGCTCTGTGTGTTAAATTCTAACAAGTACACTTCAAAATGGTGAATTCATAAACAAAATAAAATAAAGCGTTGGGTAAAAATAAATGTAACACATATAACCACTATCTATTATTAACTGCAAACAAAGGTTACTCAAGTGGGTTACTGTTTGCACCACTAACGAAAGATGTCACATTGGATTAAAAATGGAAATAAAATTATGAAAATTTTGTAATATTTCACAATGCCCCTTAGAGGAAGCCGCAGCAACACATATAGAAAAATATGCACACACTCCCAATGCTGACCAGTAAAAATAATATTTTTAGCACCTCTTAATTGTCTTTGTTAAGTAAATGTGTTTTTATAGTTCAATTCACTATTAAGGTCCTTTCTAAAGACAATTTTGGCGCCTGTTGCTCTTGGCCCTGCACGAGGGCAACGAGCCCCCTGGGCGATGTGGCTTAAACCACTCGTTGCGCCGAACAGGTAGCAGTGAAAACACATGTCACATTTTGAATAATAGTATAACTTCATAATTATATAAAGATTATTAGATGCTTTTTTTTTTTTAAATTTTGGGGGGGGGGGTCCCCTAAAAAAGTTTGTGTGCAACAGGAGTAAGGGATTAGAAAATTTGAATTTTTACTATATAGATGGCCCCCTCCTCGCTTTTCTTGGCTTGACATAATTATTTATTACAGCTTAACCACTGCGAGAAAACTAGAGAATGCATTCTCAACAGGTCCGCAAAGCATTATTAGATTTTGACATTTTTTAGGACTAAGGCGGCCATTTAAATCAAAGATTAGAACGGGCAAAAAAGCTTTAAGATTTTTAATATCCCTTCCACCATTTACAGCTTTTTGATCTGACTTTGAGTTTGAACCTTTTTTAAATTTCACCAGTAACTTCATTTTTACAGTAACAGACTGGGACAATGTGATCTTCACATACACCTAATTTATTAATTGATATCTATAGCAGATACACGTATGCAAAACAAAGTGACCGCAGGTTGCAAAATAAACGTCAGTCATCTACTTTTTACATTCAGTTCCCTTTTTTCATGCAAGCTTAACTCAGTCCTGTTAGACGCTCGATGCGAGTAGTTATACATTATATATACTGTATGTTTATTTATTATTTACAATTAGAATACTGCATTTTACGATTTTATTACAATATTGGACAATTTTAGGAGTTTGAGGGTAAACAAGTTTGTAATATAAAGTTTGATCTCTTTTTTTTCAGTTTGCCAGAGTATTTCATCACACCTATTAACTTATTGAACACTGACATTGTAAAGGCAGTAGCTCAGTATGTCGACAAAAGAATTCCAGTAAGTACCTGGTGCCAAGCAGTGGTGATTACCTTCACTTTTAAAATGTCTACAATTATTTCTTACTTTTAAAAATAAACATTTTGAAATGATTTTATATGTTTAAACATCATGTTCTCTTAAAAACCATTTCACTGTTTTCTAACCATATTTCAGACCTGGTCATACACATATGTTAATGGTGCTAGTCTTATTAGAACATCATTCATGCAGCCAGAATCGGATTTTAAAGCTTTGGAAGAAAAGTAAAGTTTTTCTTGTACCGTTATTGTTAACCAGCAAAAAGTTAAAATATTACATTATTAGTTAAAAATTAAATTTTTATTTTGTGAACTTTTTTTTTTTTTAAAGCTTATTTATCTTTTTATTTTTCATATAGGATTACGAATTTATTATTATTTTTTGGTTACCTATACAAAGCACATTTTATTTGAAAATCATTAGGCATTTGTACAAAACCACAAATGTCTGTTTATAGTGTCTAAATTTTGGTCAAAGTTTAAACATTTTAAAATATAGGCCCTACCTCTTATTTAAAAAGATGCACATAATGTATGCACGCTTAAAACGGGCTTAAAACACGTAGCCTAACCACAAAAGTTGTGACATATGTAGTAATCAATTTTATTTGAAAGTTTAACTTAGATGTATTCTTTGTATTATTTCTAAGGATGTATAATGCCATCAAACAGTCTAGTGGTAATGACAAAGATCTATTCATATTAGACCTTGGACGAATCTGCCCATCTCTTTTAGACATCAGGACAAGTCATGAAAAACTTAAAAATATCATAATGACAGGTTAGGATTCATCAATCCAAGTTTTTTTTTAAATCTCCTCCCGTCTATCAGGCTGCTCAGCGTCCCTTTTAAGTTTCTTCTGTTTGCATAAATAATGTTAAGTAGAATGACATCAAACTGAGAATGACGTAAAAATGGAATTTAAAAAAAGAACTTGATGTAAAACTTTTCAGAGAAGCACAAAATATGCTCACTGTATTACTAATCATCAGTTGTTCAGTTTCTAAACATTTCAATATTGGAATATTAGAATAACCATAATGGAATATTAGACATTGCAGTTACTGGTATTTCTTTGCAAGTAATACAATTTATATGGAAAATAAATTAATAAAAAGATTGTGTACATTAACTCCATATGGCATAACTAAACTCACAATTTTACACACGGTAGCTGCAATGTTTTTTTTCCTGTTTGGTTTTTTACATTCTACTTCCATCCACTTTCTATCCATCATTAGGCACTTTCGCCCATTCTTATTCTTTTCTTTTTTCCAGGTAGGATACATATATATATATTATATTATATTATTATTAATATATATTTCTTTGAATGTTTTTTGTTGTACTGATAAAGCCATTTGCCAAAAAGTTTACATTTGTATTCTGTATAAACCATAATTAAAGCTTTACATATCTTGTTTTATTTGCACAAATTTTTTGTGTCTCATTAATCCAAAAATCAACTGTAATTTTTTCAACAGATTCTGCCAAAGATTTCTACAGCTCAGATTCAAGGTGGTTCTCTAATCTGGAAAATAGCCAATGGTTACAACATGTGTCAAGCTGCCTCAATGCTGCAAACCATGTTGTCAATCAAATTATAAGAGAATCTTTAACTGTAGTTCTAAAAGGTAAATGCCCAACTTTTGTTGCTTGTAGTTAAATAGCAAATATCAAAGCAAATTTTATTGAGTTCAGCTAAGATCAAGCATAAGTTTCTCATTTGTTATCTTGCATAAGTCAGTCTGTTGTTCACATCTCACACAAATTACTACCGTAATTAGTTTATTTTTTTGTATAATCTCACACGTCAGTTTATTTTTTTTATAATCTCACACCAATCTGTTCATTGATAATGCTTGCAGAAGAAAGTGGTTGTGATATGACGTGCCTTGTGTCGTGTCTGGTACAGCTGCAGTTAGATCCTGAGTACAGAACGATTAGTGGTTTTCAGAGCTTGGTTCAGAGAGAATGGATAATCATGGGGCATCCCTTCCAAAAACGCCTGCATCTAATTTGGACCCCAGACTCAAATGCTGAACTGGAGCAGGTATTTTTAAAATCAATTTTTTAGTACATCATCGAGCCTCCCATTTTTAATTTAATGAAGCCATTTAAGAGATTTAAACACTTTCAATCTGTGACAGCCCTATCCCACCACCAGACATGCTATGTACACATTGCTACAAAAGAAAAAAACGAACTCTCCCCATTGTAATAAAATTTGAATCCAGAGATGCAAGACCAGGGAAAGCTACTGCCAAATATTTGGTTTATATCAATTTGGGAAGGAGATTTCATTTATATTAACAGTGGTTTTATTTCCCAATGATGACTAAAAACACCCATTACCACAGTTGAGCACTTTGACAAAGTTTAACAATTAGCACCATGAAAGCATTGTAAATAATGCAACAAAAAGCTGCTATTTTGTCAAATCCAGTTCACTTTATTACTTGTAATTATATCACAGAATAGATTTGTTCTGAAACAGTATTTCCCACTGGCCTGGATTTCACTAGGAAAAATTTCTGAGTGTCGTTTCCTCTTATCCTCCTCCTGGGTTAATTAAGCCATTGAATACATTTAAACAATTTAAATTATTCCTTTTCTTTCTCACAGGCACCTTTGTTTTTACTATTCCTGGATTGTGTTTGGCAGTTGCTTCAACAATTTCCCTCATCATTTGCCTTCACTGAAACATATCTGACATCTCTTTGGGACACCTTACACATTGGTTTGTTTGACACTTTTCTGTTTAACAGTTGTTGGCAGAGGAAAAAATTTTTGAGTGAGGGTCGCAAAATGACCATTTTCCTACCCAGTGCTTGGGATTGGAAGTTTCAGCTTGGAGAAGAGCAATTGTTGTTATTTAATAACCCCCTCTACATGTTGCGGACAGCTTATGACCTCGACCATGTTGTGGACAGTGCAAAGAATGCCTTGCGTCTTTCAGGGGAGAGGCTAAGAGAGAATCGTTATTCCTTACTCTTGGGTAACCCTCCTCCTACTGCTGATGTATTTGCTCTTCAAGAGGTTATTTTAAAACCAGAAGTCACTGCCAGCCTGATTAAGCTTTGGTCTCAGTGCTTTCTTCGATGGACAATCCCTGCACAAATAGTTGGTGGGGGTAACCCTTCTCAATATATGCAACAGTGTGTCCTAGCAGAGGAGGTAGTGTGCCTGCAGCATAAACTTCAACTGCTTACCTATCAGCTCCAAGAGATGCAGTGCAACTCTGACTCTGAAGATGGAAATCACCTGCAACAACCCAAATTTAGGATCAAGAATCCACGCCCACAAAGTGGTCTGCTCTTTGGGTCATCAAGTTATCAAACCACAAGCAAACATTTGTCCACTGTGTACATTACCTCTTCTTTCCCTTTCAGCCCTGGTGTATCACAACACACTCAGCACTCCCTCATCTGTGGACCATTGTCTAGGTACCTGAAGGACACTGAAATAGATCATGACTATGCTCACGATGATGATGATTAACCTTGTATTTTAAGGTGCCTGCTTATAATTATAAACCCTTGAGAACATTTAATCAATCCTGCAATGAATAAGTAAAGGGATTTGCAATTGTATCAATATTCTATTGAAAAGCTCTAAATTTACAGTTAACATAATGAAAGTATTGGTTCAAGCTATTTGTATGCACCAATTTATAACTTAAATCTATTAGATTCATGCCATGATTAATTTTTGTGCCACTTTTAAACAAGTTATAATTTGCAATGTTTAAAACATAGTAAATTTTAGTTTTAATTACACAGCAGGAACTTACAGTAAAAAATATGATTAATTTTCATCCTCATCTATTGTTTGATTCCTTTCAGTAATTTTACATCCTAATTATTGATGTTAAAGTTTCATATTTATTTTAGCTGCCTTCTCTTTTCTATAAACCAATTATTTTTAATTTACTTGATTTACACATCAGCTCCTGGTCATACAAAAGCTTTTGAAATTGTTCTTATTGTAGGCATGCATAGATAAAAAATATTTATCTCTATTTTTAGGTGTTCCATTTTTTAATAGGATTTTAAAATTTCTGATAATTGGTTTTGAATATAACATTAGTAACCACAAATGGGATATTGTTGGGTTTTTTTTTGGGTGCAATAAGATAATAAAATTTAGCTATTTTTGTATTGATTTTTTTTTTAGTATAAATTATACACAGTGTAAATTAAAAACACCTTTCACCTGTAATAAAGAACTTCAAACATTTAGTTTTTAAAACTGACAATTTTTGTTTGCATTAATTTTAACTAAGGGTTGAGTTGCATAGATAACCAAACTAAAATTGCATTTACCTTTAAAAGCTTATTCTCAGACTTAAAATTTAAGTTAAATTTGTTTATTTGAGACTTTTACTGATGGATAGCAGTTGTTGTGTTTGTTTGGAAGCAATAATTCAGATTCTATTATATATTGCTCTATTTCTCCTTCTGCCATTCACTTTGTTATGTCTGATATGTATTTATTTACATTATAAACAACTAAGTCAGTATTTTTATTCATGTTCAAATTATCTTTAACACATAGTAATGCCTTGTGATCAATGTACTATCAAAATGAAAACAAAGGTTGATTCAGGACATTACTGTGCCTCTTGAAATAGTTTAGTATTATTCTTGAAATAATCTAGTATTATTTCAAATACTAATTATGGAAATTTTGTGCGACAATGGATACAAGTTTCAAATTGTAATCTTGAAATAAAATTTTATATTTCATTTACCGATAAAGAAATGGATATGTGAACTTTAATTTCACAGAAGAAATATCCAACTAAATAAGTCTTATTTGTGTCAACATAGTATTAATTGCGAATGTAAATGTTCCCAGAGCAACTAAATTAGGTGTCATTCTCTTTAAATACCTGGTAGTATGAATTGTCCATGGAAAAAAATATTACTGTTGTAACATGATTATTAAAAGTGAAACGTAAATTTTTTAATTGCGATTCAGGGTTTGTTGCCCCACATACTTTAGTGGGATTTAATTAATTCCGTAGAAAGATAATTACTGTTGCAGCAACTGTTTTGTTTTTAAATTCGAGTATCATTTTAAACAAATAATTATAGACATCTCGATATTTTAGCAATTATAAAGTTCTTAATGTGATATTTGTTTAACGGTGATGTGAGTTGAGGCAATACTTGTCGTATATGATTAATGAAAATGATACACATGTACAGTGTTATATGTACAGACAAGGAGAATTATTGTATTTCTTTCCCTTACTTTTCATGTAAATATTGAATGCTCACCTCATATATAAAAACCACTATTTAATTTAAAGATATTAAAGAATTATAATATATGTCCTGAATTAAAGTTGTCCTTTGCTTAAGTTATTAAAAGCCATTTAGGATTACATCCCAAAATATTGGTTCAGCCAGAAAGATTGGCTTCAAATGCTTTCCACCTTTGTACATGTTTAATAAATAATTTATGAAGTTGTAGTAAACACAAAACCACAATTTTTAACATACCACTACAGGTAATCATTTATCTCTTGATGCATTTTCAGTAAGTTTAAAATTGTTTACAGGAAGTTACTGCTTGTTATCAAGCAGTTGTGAAATTGTTATTGCTTCTCTAATTGGTAATCTTAACTTAATACTTTCTCATTCATTACATTTTTCAAAACATGCACTTAATTTCTCCTTTCACTGGCAAAAATTCACACAAAAAGCAGTATTACTGATAACAATAAAATGCTAAGTAAACAATATACAGTGCTTGCAACGGGAAATAGTACTTAATTTTAGTAATGGCATGATCTTGTTTGATAGTTATCTTACTGTTGTGAGAAATACCAATATTCAGCCAGAAACATTAAAAACATTAATATACTGTAATTTTGCGCATATAAGACGCAGGTTTTTATGAAATAATGCGCGGTCTAGCCATCTGCGGCACTTAGAAATTTATTTACCCATATATGATGCACCCTGGGTGCAGGTTCGTAAACCTTTGTATAAGATGGGGCTTATATATGCAAAAATATAGTAGCTATTGGTTTGTTTTTTTTTTGTTGATAATATGACAACACAACTGTGGACTTTTTGGGAACAATTCCCAGTGGAAAGTCTCCTTAATATGACATACATTTTTACACAAGAACCCATCCTGTCCAGTCTCACCATATTTTCAGGATATAAACCAAACAAATATACTTCTGATTACCATTAACTTGATTTATTCAAAACAATATTACTAGAAAACAATGTGAGGTGAGATATTTATACAAAATGAATTTTGAAATATAGATTTACCTAATGATCTTTTTAACAAAGTTTAACATGAACAAGCTACATGTTAAATACTGTACACTAATAAGAGCTTAAGTTTATAGTATCTCTAATGCATTAATGAAGAGTCCTGACTACTTAAATTTAAATGAACTTGACATTCATTCAACTTTACTGCAAAATTGTACATTAAAAAAAAAATACAGCATTAAAAATGAAATTACCAACAGGAAAAACAACATTCAACACTAAATGTTCAAAAGCTTATTAAGAAAAAAGCTCAACATTCTATTTTGTTTATAACTTGCTCAAGCACTCATCAATTTCTGATACCTTGTCTTTGAGAGCATCCCACTGCTCCACCGATAAGCTAATACCTACAATGAATAGAGAATACATACAATTTTTAAAAAGTGGCTTCAATATTACCAGAGGTGCAAAGTTTTCACTTGTTAGGCATGAGCTGGAGATATTAAAATAAACTAAAGGAAGATGATGATATTATTGCATAACAATGTGATAATGGATAATAATTCCCACTTTAACATGAAACAAGTCAGATTAGTTGTTTTTTGACATTTCTGAAAAAGTAGTTGATTTAAGATGAAAATTAACCAAATATTAGCAATTTTAATTCAGCATTTTACTTTCAAATTTCATCATGATTAATTTGTTCTTTAATATAAATCCTGACCCATTTGATCCCACAGCTTTATCATTTTCAATAACAGACACATATGCATCAATTGTTAGACCGGCAATTCAATAGGGGAGGAGGGGGAAAACAAATTAAAAATATAGTTTGCACAACTTTATTTCGCTTTTAAAAAATGTGTAACTCTAATTAAACTTGAACATTTTAACATGCTCATATTGTTTTAAATAGAACCTGTATGTAGAATAACTTAAATTTTGTATTATATTCACATTTCTGATTTAGTTAAACAAATTTAAAAGCTCTCCACAATTGTAAGTGTAGTGACATTTAGTTCCTTCCACCCAACAGTAATCACAGTAATCACCTATTTTCGTTTGCACATTTGGTAATTCATAACATTTCCATCATGTATTTCCATTATTACCTTTTTTCCCTGGTCTGAGATCTCCATCCTTTTCATAATATTCTCGAATGCTAACCATTGCTTTCCCTCTGAATTCACTTACAGTTGCATACCGCATTTTGCCAATCTAGAGAAAATTAATGAATGCTTTAAAAACTAAAGGCTTTTTTTAAACATGACACTGCAAAATGATAATGAAATTAGTAATATATTTTTATTTATTTTTTTATCTTTTTTTTTTTTGGTTCTCTAAATAAAATAATGTTAAAATGCAAAAAATTGTTCATACAAAAGTAAAACTTAATAGACAAATGTGAAATTGTGTGGTCAAGGCTGGAGAAGATATCCTATTTCATTAGGTTTATTTGGGCAAACCAATTTTTGGTTTTATAAATCTGATTTGAGAACAATTGTCTGCTCTAAGTAGCGTTAATAGTAGGTACTCCAATAATCCTTTAGCGGGCAGATGTGATGATGACTTCTTTAGCTATGTCTCATAAATCTTTATAAAAATAGACAAACTTTTAACTCTATTCTCCAATGGATTCCAGTTGTAAGAATCCTAGAAATATATTATGAACTTTCATGACAGGGTAGACCAGAAATATTTTGTAACTCAATAATTTCAATTTTAATGAGCAACTAAATTTATTTAAATATTTCCATCATTCTTTTCTGAATTGTAATTGTACTTAAATTTGTATTTGTATGCTTTCAATTAGAAAAAAAAAATTCAGTTGTATTATTTAAAAAAACATTCAACCACTGATGATCATTTTCAAAACTGATAACATCTGGTTTACCTACATCTTATTTCAGAAACCAAGGTTATGAATTTGACAGAACTTTACATTGTACCTGAAACATGCTTTCACCGTTGGAATTTTTAGTTGGACCAGCTTTTTTCTCATCTGTTTTTGAATCTTTTTTTTCTGGCTTGGCCTCTTTTTTCTCTGGTTTGGCTTCTGGCTTTTTCTTCTTTTGTTTTGGCTTTAAATTAAAAAAAAAAAAAGATGTGTATTTATAAATATAAGATTTTTAAAAAAAAATGCAAATTTCACTAATATCCATAATGAATTAATCCTTATATTGCCTACAAATTGAGGAGGGTGGTGGTGGTATGTGTTTGCTTTATTTTGGAGATTTTGTGCACGAGTGCGTATGACAGAGGGGGCTCAGCAAATATTATGCACATTTATGCACAAATTGTGCAATAATTATCCTAAAATTCTGACAATCCATTAATAGCCCATTTAACTGACAGTCTAGAATTTCCAATTAATTTTTGGTAGAACAGGACTATACAAAACAGACAGCAATGAAGACACAATTTTTACATGTATTACTATTACTGTGACTTCATAATTGTTTATAAATAAATTGGGTTGTTGTTATTTATTTGGGATAGGGGGTTGAAAGCTCATTTGTACTTTTGCAGAGGGTAAGGGGTGTCCAAAAAGGTATCAGTGCAACAGTGAGAGGGGTGTTAATATTTGATTTTTTTAAAATCTCTATGGCCCTTACACAACTTTGACTGGTATATGATGTGTTGCTCTTTATTTTTATCTCTATGCAAGTGTTGCAAGTAAGGGGACTAATTTAAACCTCTTTCATAAAGTAAATGAGAGGCGATTACATGCTGATAATATATTCCCCTCTCTACTTTCTGTGTTTTGGTCAGTGTTTACTCTATGACACAGTGATGCTAACAGTATATGTATGACATACGGATGCTAACAATCTATGACATACGGATGCTAACAATCTATGACATACGGATGCTAACAACATCACGCACGTATAAAGAGCTGTTGAAATCTCGTAACCAACTCTTCTGATGATTTTGATTGGTCACTTCAAAACAATTAAAATCATTGGAGAAGGGTACGGTACATCTTTATTTCCCCAGGCTTAGTAGATTGTTTACAATAACAATTTTTTGAAACATTATTTGTGTGAGGGGTTTGCTGTGATTTTAAATTGAGTTAACTGTGTATTCCAAGGGTCAAGATTGGAAGGAAGAAAAACAAGGTGTCATTATAAACTGCAACTAGGGGTGCATGGCAGCTTCCTTTAGGGCCATTTTAGATGTCATGGTGCCTTTTGCAAAAAGATCACTTTTTCAATTTAAGGCACTCTTAACCCTCCCCATTTCACTTAAATCCTAATTTAACAAATTTTTATAAAAGATTATTTATGTGTACACATGAACAAGTGTACAAAAGCAAATTTCTGAGAGCTGCCCCCCCCCCCCTTTCCCCCCATCAACATTTTTTTTTACATTTAGATTATGTCAGCCTTTGACAGACCTGTTTACCCTCAAGCTCTTAAAAGTATACAATATCATCACAAAATCGTTCAATACATTATCTTAATAGTAAAAAATAAACATACAGTATATATAATGTATATGTTACCGGCAATGTGTGAAATCCGGCATTATATAGAATGCCTAGGTATTCTATAGAATGCCTAGGTATTCTATAGAATGCCTGAAAATTGTAGGCAAAGTATGAAATGGTTTATATTTCACACATTTCCTAGGCATTCTATATAATGCCTAAGAGCGACCCGGCAATGTATAGAATACCCCGCCATTCATGTTTGATTCTTTGCTTGGTGGTGGCGTGGCGATTGCGACACACGTGCTTCGTACTCCCGCCAAAGACGCTACCCCTATTGTTTCAAGATGGCTGCCGAGATGTTGGAAGATCAGATTGTAGCTTCAGATTAGGAATCACAGTATGTTTACATGCAACGGCGGTTCTACGATGAACTTTCTCAATTGCGAGCCAATACTGCTAAAAACTGCGTTTCTTTAACGGAAACTAGTTACCAAAAATTGGTGGATGATTTGAAAATGGCTCGGATGACAACTCAGAAGAAATCACGACACTATTGGCTGCTGAAACGCTATGATGTAATGGCGGTAGAGAACTAAAGTAAGTTGATCTATCCTGTTAAAGAAGGCGACAGTGCTATTCAGTTCTATGTCACGGATTCAGAATTATTTGACATACTTCACGAGGCTCATTTGACCGTGGGACATGGAGGAAGGGACAGAATGTTGAAGGAACTTTCACACAAGTATAAGAACATTACAGGTAATGATATTGAACTTTACCTCCACCTTTGTGAGCCGTGCCAGAAGAAACAAAAAGGTGTCACAAAGGGTGTTGTGGTGAAGCCTATGATTTATTCTGAATTCAACTCCCGTGGTCAGGTCGATCTTATCGATTTTCAATCCCATCCTGACAGGGAATATAAATTTATAATGTTGTACCAAGAGCATCTCACAAAGTTTGTGGTTCTGAGGGCTTTAACATCCAAGAGGGCGGAAGAGGTAGCCTACACACTAGTGGAAATATTTACGTTGCTTGGAGCTCCATCAATTCTACAGTCAGATAATGGCCAGGAATTTACCAACAATGTGGTGAACAGCCTAAAGGAGTACTGGCCCAAGTTGAAGATCGTCCATGGTAAACCGCGCCACTCACAAAGCCAGGGAAGTGTTGAAAGAGCTAATCAATACATCGAAAACATGCTATGTGCTTGGATGCAAGATGAAAAAACTGATCACTGGGCTGAGGGATTACGATTCATCCAACTTATGAAGAACAGGGCCTTTCATTCTGGGATCAAGAGAACGCCTTATGAAGCTCTGTTTGGCTGCAAAGCTAAAGTGGGCCTTGCAACGTCTTCCATACCCCTTGACGTTTTGCAAAACATACAGACTGAGGAAGAACTAAAAAAAATAATAGAAAGATTAAAAACAACACAGCAGGAAGAAGCAAATCGTCAGATGCAAGATACAGAGCCTGCTATACAGAATACTGAAGAGAATGCAACCAGTAATGGAGGAAACCAAACTGATTGAGACGTCATGGTTACCGAAGAGCCTTCCACTTCTGGTGTTTGTTGTGTCTGCTTAAAAGAAAGCAGCGGTGCCCATACATGCAGAAACTGTCACCGTAATGTTCATCTTATCTGTGGCCATGCTGCTAAAGACGATGGAGACGAGGTTATGGCGGTATTTTGTGCAGCTTGTGTTTCAAGATAAAGAGAGCTATAGAGGCTAGAAAAGAATCTAAATCGAACCTTGAAATCCAGGCCAAAAAAATGAAAATAAACTCTGACAAAAAGTTCCCGCCTGCACCTTTAGGAGCCACTGTGCAAGTTCCTATTCCTGACGTTGACAAGGGACGGAATGACTCGCGCAATCTGTTGGCAGTTGTTATGACAGAGACAGAGGACGGCTTTTATCGACTTGGAACTGCACAAGCAATCTTGAAACAATTGTATTCGAGATCACAGTTCGCTGTATGTCCAAAAGATTTATTGAGAGTTGAAGACATCCCGGCCCATGAAATACCTCTCCGATCTGCTGCTATCTCTCAGTCAACAGGAAGCGGTCAAGGCTACGTGAGGTGTATGTGCAAGACCAGGGGCCAAAACATGAAGAATCTTTGTTTGAAAAAGAAAATTAAGTGCAATTCAAAATGCCACTTCAGCCTTACTTGCTGCAACAACTTGCTACTCGATGACACCTTTGCTTTCCAGTTTTATTGTTATCTTTTGTATTCAAATGTGTTTTTCCAATTAAAAAAAATTTCTTTAAGCTCTTTTGAAACTTTGCCTGAAGTATATCTGTCATTATATATAATACCTAGGCAATGTATAAAATTCCTAGGCGAAGTATGTGACTTAATCACGAAAATAAAATATTTCATACTTTGCCTAAAACCGCCAGGCATTCTATATAATGCCTAGGCATTCTATACAATGCCTGCATTTCACACATTCCCGGTAACATATACATCTCAAAATTGTACATTGTACGCCAAAATCAAAAGAGTAAACAGTTCTGCTTTGATGTACTGACAAGATTATAATTTTTGGGTAATTAGAGGAGCAATCTTGCTTCTGTTTTATGATTTGGTTATTGTAATAATACTTATTTACCCTAGCTCTAAAATTGTGTTTAACTGATCATTATGAACTAGTACACAAGTTTCCAACCCTTTTGGACCCAATTATATAGAAGCAAAGTGAGCTGCGACCCCAATACATTTAAACAAGACTTTTTAATGGGGTAAAAGAAAATAGATTCCCCAGTTGAATATAAATCATCATAATTTAACAAAGAACATATTAAATGTGATTATTGAAATTGTAGGCCATAATACACAAGCTTCAAAATTGATGGTTGAGCTTTTGTTGAGGCTAACCTCTTGCATTTAGATCTAATTTTATTTTTTTGGTTTTCAAATGAAGAATTGTTGAAAATGCACTCAATACAACACTCAAAATACAGACTTGTTTACTTTTACAATTTTGGCGTAAAATGTACGATTTTGAGGTGTATACATTATATATACTGTACGTTGTATTTTTAATATTAAGATAGTTCATTGAACGATTTTGTGATGATATTGTACGATTTTAAGAGTTTGAGGGTAAACAGATCTGAAAATACTAAAATTATTCGTAGGTCAAAATGTAGGTCAGTTTTTCATGCTGTTGTAGTTTTTTGGGGGACTTTTCGTACAGTTTTTTCCCTGCAGGTTGACATGCATGTCTCACAGAAGTGCAAATGGCAGTATAATAATAATATTAAAACTTTAATACTGATTAAAAAAACACCAGTTCTGTCAGGATCCATGGGTTGCAAACCGATGAACTGATGTAAAAAAAATTACTTACATTTTGTTTTATTACAACAGGCATTGCAAAGGAAAATAGGCCTATATAATGACAGGCAGCGGATTAATCAGCATCATCCAATGTAGCGAGGTTAATTAATTGGGGAGTTAAGGCATCACATAAAATTTTGTAAACATTTTACAACTAAATTAAATAATATTTTTTCTGAAGCTTACTAACCTCATCGGAATCACCACTCTCTTCAGAATCAGAAGAGCTCAAATATTCTTTTGACTTAGGCATCTCTATTATAAATACCACAAAGCAATTTGATCGATTCCTCTGGAGAAAAAAATGTCTGGCATTTACTTATGGGAATAGGACAAATTAGTTTACAGACTTGAAACACTACTCATAACTTAACATCAGTTGGGTTGATATTTGTCTATGTGTATTATTGTACAAAACAGTGTTAAAAATTGGTTAAAACTATTTAACGCAAAGTTATAACCTATACAGTTATTAAATTATCTGTCCATTATTTTGAATATATCTTAATATTGCATTCCATTTTAATATTCATCCAAAAGCAATAACCTAATTTTTGTACATTAAACATAAATACACAAAAAATGTAAGCTGTCGTAAAAAGGTAAAATTGTATAAAATAAAAAACCCTGCATTAAAGCATCCAGTCTAATAATGCCATCTGATTTTATGGAACCAATCTATAAGTAAAGGAGACCTAGTAACACCTTCAACATTAATTTCAATTGATTCCATATCAATCTTTTAAATTTTGGTCAAAACAGATTTCAAATGTAGCTTAAGTACAAAGTATGTCCAAATCTAGTGATGCTGTGTGGAGGAGTTGAGAATGCATTATTAAAAAATCTGTAGTTTTCTCCGCTCTCGCAATCGCCGCCGTTCAGCCAAAGATCAAAACTTTTATGTCACAAAATTTAATTGTAAAACAGTGGTTCTTAACCTGGGTTCGATCGAACCCCAGGGGTTCGGTGAGTCAGTCTCAGGGGTTCGGCGGGGGTCCAAAAAAAAAAATCATATTTCATATTAAGATGGGTTCGGTGAATGCGCATATGAAACTAGTGGGGTTCGGTACCTCCAAAAAGGTTAAGAACCACTGTTGTAAAGCTTCCAGAATATATTCCCAGTCTCTTAAAATCGTAGTTCTGACAGGTCTCTGCATACAATCATAAAAGATAACTCAAAATCCTAAATTGTAGGTTAAAATGTTAAGAGTAACCAGATCTGCAATATTGAAATACAACATTGATTAACAAAATTAACCAATAAAGATGTATAGATATCAACATTTATTAAATTTCCTAGTAAATGCAATTTTTCAACTAACTTAGACTATAGACTTGAAAAGTTGTTGACTTTTAAAGGAAGAAGAAACTTTTGCAATTAGCTTTCCGGGTGATTCTGGAACACATTTCTTATGATGATTATGGCACAAAGTTGCTCATATTGGTAAATATTGAAAGATCTTTAGGGAATTTATTTGGCTTTTAACGTGCAGTGGGAAGCAGGTTTCCATAGATTTTTTATTTTCAAATTATTAATTTTGTTGGTACCAATGTTAGTTTTAGAGAAAATTGTCAATTTAAAAAATAATAATCCAGGTTTAGGAAGGTAGGGTTTAAGTAAATCAAAGAGTTTTACATAGGCGCCATATGTTCATCGATTAGAAATATATCTAAAGAATGTTTTAGCAGTTTGTATTTGCAAATAAAGTTTAAGTTACTGAATATATACTTCAACAACTTCCCTCAGATTAATGAAGGTATGTGCCACAACGCACCCCTGCATTTTGAATTATTTGATCTGGGGAGGGGCTCACTCAGCCTCTTCAAGCCTCCCCAAGCCACATCTCTAAGATGTCCAGTTTCGTCCAGGAGCATTCAGTGCTCTCAATTTCTGCTCCCTCCCCGACCAAATTGACAATACTGGCACATCTGATCAAATTGACAGTAGCTGCACTGTTTTATCTTTTAAAAAAATATTTTAAAAAACTAGTTGTTAGTAATTGTGGAGAAATGACTTCAATTATTCAATGAAGGTGGATGACTCGCATGAGTTATCACCTACTCATGTCTAGGAGTTTTACGTTTGATTCAATTCACACACAGGGATATAATTTCAATCATATTCACTTATATGTAAATAAAAAGAAGTTCATAACCAATTTCATAAAATGAAATGAATTTATTTAAATTCAATTTACAGCACTTTATAAGTTATAAAAGTTTAAGGATATGAAAATTCATAGCATATAATAATGGCTTAGATCTCCCTTTGCATATAGTTTAAAATCTAGGGTCTAAGGACTATGGCCTCTCGTAATACCTAACATTAATGCTTTGTGATAAATTGATATGATCAGACCATTTACACTTATCAATACCTGGTATAAAATTATTGATGATCTTGCTTCATGTATCAATATACAAGGTCACTTCAAAGTTAGACGTGATTCCTCCACTGTGGCTTCTCAGGGAGGGAAGTACATTGTGGATAAAATAGCCTTTCCAGCTGAACATTGTAGGCTGAGGACTTCCCAGCGGTGTGTCGTGGGTGTAGAGTCCATGCAACATGCACTCCTATTTGATGCAGGCTAACGGTTTTATCTTACGGATGTTTAGCACTGGGCGGAGTCTTCAGAATCCAGCCTCAGGAAGTATCCTCAATCCAGCTGCTAAGATGCTGTGGTATCTTGTACTATGGCAACCAGGTAGGTTAGATTTGCCAGCTTTCATTATAGTGTGATGATCTAGAAAAACTTGTTCTTTATTCTACCACGGTATAAATAGTTATGGTTATATAATTTATCATTGCCTGATCTCAATGCCGTGTTTGATCAAGACCAATGAAGTAAATTGTATAAGTGTAATTAAAATTTTACACGAGTTAGCTCACTCATGGGCAGGGGGTTGTTCTAGCAAAATGTTCTTTATACATCACTAATTGGAATTTGAATGTCAAGCTTGATTTCAATATTTTCTTGAACTTATAAAAATATTATTTTCCTTTAGTTTGTTTGAAATTATAAACATTCCGGTAGTGAAACTAGACTAAAAGCTAAAGTGAGGCTAAAAGCATACCCACATCTTGGCAGAATTATTGAAAGTAGTGGTATATCCCGCAAATTATTTGCGAATGACACAGAACTGTACAAGTGTTTCCGCCCTGAACCTTTGAACTGTGCTGCTGTTATGCAAGTTGTCAAGGACTGCTGTCTTGTGGTGAAATCATGGATTGCATCAAACAGACTTAAATTAAATGATGATAAGATGGAGGCTATTATATGTGGTTCTGATGCCAACATTCAGAAGGTTGCTATCGCATCGATAAGTTGGTGCTCTGATCCCTCATATCAGTTCTGTGGTCAGGGCTTGTTTCTGTCATATTCGAACTCTGGGTCAGCTGCATCCTCAACTTAGCAAGAGAATAGCCAGTGCCATAGCAGTCACTCTAATCTAATCAAGATTAGATTACTGTAACAGTTTGAAGCTATTGCGCCTAACTTGTGGAACAGTTTGCCTCAATCTTTGAGGGAAATTGAAAATGATAAAAAGTCATTTAAGAACCATTTAAAGATTTTTTTCTTTAAGTAGATTTTAGGGCCTCGGAGCGCTATTATGAGCATGCTAAAATAGCATGGACACAAATTAAAAGCACTATAAAAGTACGCAATCATCATCTACCACTTCAGCGTCTGTTATTCAAAAATTGTGTTCTGGTGTGAAGTGCTATTATTATTAGTATTATTATTTAAACGGTTATTCTTTATTGACGTCCGACAGTGGAGAGAGCGTCACTGAATGGGTTTTCGGCGGCATAGAAAGAGCGAAATGGTGCTGTTTCCAGTTTTCCCGACTGCATGGGAACACTGAGTATAATCCCAACCAATAGAGTAATAGACTTAAATGAGAAAATTTTAAATAAAATTTTAACAGGAACATGCCTAACAAAGTAAAGTTAAAGGGGTCTTCATAGCTAGAGTGTAGACTGTAGTCTGTAGTTGTAGGCTGAGACTCCACGAATTACTTATCTAGTATCATTATGTAGTCTACACAAGTAGGTAGGATAGGCTGTAGTATGTAGTCTTTAGTAGGCGAAGCTGTCGTTAGGAGGGTTGAATGGGCTACCGTTGTCAGTTGAATTTACGACGCTAATGTGCGATTTTACTTACCTCATACTGCCTGCTGATTTACTGTTCGTTAAATAATAGTCATATTTAAAATATATAATAAATAAAATTTGAAGACTAAAAGTTAATCTTAATTCGACAAAAAAATTATTTGGATTCACCTTCTCTGTTGTATTTACTCAGCGATCTTTTCCCTTGAAGTTGAGGCTATTAATTAATTTACTTAATTGATTCCCGCGGTGTATAGTGAGTTTGTGACGTCGAGATAACTCTGTCTACAATATTAGAATTTCTTTCGCCTTTTACTTAATAATAAAAACAAATTGAAACTAATAAAATCAATATCGTCTATTTACAAAAATTATGCACATATAAGAGTACAAATTGTGAAAATTGAAAAAGACAGAATAACTAGCTTTAGCCTAATATTTAAATATGTCTTCAAAAATAATAAACGCAAACAAAAAATATTTTGTTAAATTGAGCACCTTTCTGTACTTGACTTGATGAAGTTGAAGGCAATGAAGTCGTAAGTCGGAAAATCGCGGTTCGCGAACCGCATGTGACTCTTTAGCGACCTGAGTGCGGCTCGGCCAGTCGGCCACAAATCGGTTTTGACTCCGAAAAACATGGTTCTTGGTAGATTCTTGAAAAGAAGTTAGGCGCTCAAAAAAAATTAATCGTCCTGCTACTGATTTTTGGCTCTTTTGACCAATGAGAATAAGTTTGCCGACCATTGGCGATTCTACATTATATTATGCCTATTATTTGATTGTATTGTAGGAGTAGGGCCTTTATTTTTTACATTCACTGAAGCATTTTCATTGACTTGAACTTGAGTCAGTATGAGTTTTAGGTTTGAGTCTAAAAGATATACATGTGCATGCAGATAGTTAGATAGTCTACATCATTGTCTAACTATGGTCCATTCCTTAGTCCCTTCTTCACAAACACACGCTTCTCACCTGCACTACGGTGTTATTTCGTGGAAATTATTTATGTATCACACAAATGTTGCGAATGGTCCAAGTAGGGGAAAACCTAAATTTATAAAACCTTAAATCAGGTAGCCTAGAAACAAACAAGATCCCAGAGCAGGGGAGACTACAAATCAGTAAACAAACAAATAAACGGTGAAGACTACAAATCAGGAAGCATACAATACAAGATACACAATTTTAAATACGGGGAATTTAGGTCTACATTAGGGTGACCAAATGATGAACTGGAAAAAATTGGACACTTTCAAGGACGCTTGTTGGCGGGGGGGGGGGGGGGGGGGGAAATACCAATTCCCAAAAAAATTATTGAATTTTAAATACGGGGAATTTAGGTCTACATTAGGGTGACCAAATGATGAACTGGAAAAAATTGGACACTTTCAAGGACGCTTGTTGGCGGGGGGGGGGGGCGGGGGAATACCAATTCTCAAAAACATTATTGCAAACTGTGCACTCGGCTTTACTTTCATAGCTTCCCTTTTAAATACAGTTCCACTGTTTGGAATACTCCTCATAAACTTAGATTGACGCTTGGGTATAATTATTGTCTACATGAGAAGATATAAAAATTAAAGAATAAACTTCAACACCCAAAACAATTACCTGTCACTCTGACCCCCCCCCGGCTTCAAGTCTCGTGTCTTTCGCTATACTTATACATTAACATATAAGATATATAAGATATATACGATCTATGGCAGGGACACTGGTGTAGGAGGAACAGTGCAGCCATCACGCGAGCCCATATCAGTACTGGCACTGGCTATACAGCTAGCCAAAATATTACTTGAAGTTATATTTTAAATTAGGAAGTTTAAGAGATTTGAAAATGTGTTTGGTTTAAAAGCGGGACATTTAGGCGTCCTAAGAGACTTTTTCGGGACAACGGGTATTTGTCCCGTTTTTTACGGGACTTTGGTCACCCTAGTCTACATTCAATGTATATCCTCCCTCCCAATGAAAGATTTGTGTGATAGTTTGTATGACTGGCGATTATTGTTGTGTGTATTGAGTGAACTTTATGAACTGATTGGCCTGTGTTGTTGCCATCTTGTATGATTGGACGCGATGAGTTGTTTTCATCAATGTTTAAACTTAAATGTGTGACTTTTGGTTGAAGAAATGGAGTGAGTGATCATCAGCGTTTCTTTCAGAAATCCCCCCCCCCGGCGGGGGCACTTCAGATTTTCCGGGGGGCACTTCAGATTTTTCGGGGGGGGGGAGGGCCAGTGCCAGCAGTTCCAGTTGATTTATTGTTGGACATATTTTTGC